TTATTTATCATTGGAAGAAGAGAATGAAGTCTCGATTTTGTAAGATATCAATCAGTTGGCATTTTCACAAGGCCGATTATCAGAAGGTGCACATCTTAAGAATGCTTTATTGAAGTACATTTTATAAATTCATTGTATGGTACGAGCATTGGATGTAGAAGGCAGTATCAAACAAGAATTGGAAGTAAGCAAAAAAGTGATATTAGAGCAGAACCAAATAATTACAGAAAAAGATTGGATCACCCAAGAGAATGCAGAGTCCAAATTGATATTGGACCTGAGGTTTTTATAGAAACAGGAAGCTTGGACAAAAGATAAAGAACACATCTTATAGTATCGAGTTGTAATGCGACTATATGGTCAAAGATAATAATATAGATATTATTATAGAAGAGTCAAGTTAAAAGATAAAATAAAAAAATATGGATAAAAGATAGGAAGGTAGTAAAACTTTTAGTAGTAATGCTGCCCTTTTAGAAAAATAGCTTCTACTTACTCTATAGTGCCAAAAATAAGGCAAAATAAGATAGATTGGAAAAATAAATGATATAGATATTTTTAAGAAGAAGTTAAGAGTAAATTTTAGCAAAAATTACCTAAAAAAACTAGATATTGATACTCGGAGAGGGCTAGTTATAAACCTGGACTAAAATCAAACCCTGAGGCACAAAACTAAGTACCTATGGCAACTTGGATGTTCTTTTGTAGATCATAGAATGGGATTTGATAGCAGACTAGATAAGATTTCTATGAGCATTATTTTTGTATGATTTGGATTTATAATGACTTTGTAAGAGCTTTACAAAGTCAAGTTTGTTTTGGATGACTTGGATTTTTGTGAAATAAAATAGGGTTGACGTTTTAGATGATTTTGAGAGTTTTGTAATAGATCTATAAATAAAATTTTAAAGATTGATGGTTATAGTTGTGCTTAATATGTGTTGTAAATTTTAGCTTGATATAACGGTTGAATTTAGGATTATTAAGGTTTAAGTGGATCAAGGTCTTAGAAAGTAGAAATTTAGGTCTAGAAAGGGTTTTTAAGATTTTATACAATCTATTAGTTGGATTGGAGTGAAACTTATGTATAAAGATATTATACTTATTTTTCTATGTATATTAGAATTTCGAGATTAATCAAACAATGAAAAAGAGAGATATTGGCTTTGGGAGATTAGCATCAAGGTTGGAGAAGGAGGCCGGCCAATATCCAAGCACGTTTTTGAGGCTATTGTCTATTTGGTAATTTTGATCCTTTTCAAATTTTTTGTGCTTGTTTTCAACTTAATTATTAAAAAGTGTACAAATTTTGAATTAAGATCGATAGTTCATTCAATAGTAATTGAGGTTTAAATCTATTATAGGAATTATTAGGATTTGATTTAGGATTAGAATTTGATTTAGGATTTAGGATTTGATTAGGGTTTGGTTAGGGTTTAATTTAGGATTAGGATTTGATTTAGGATTTAGGATTTGGTTAGGATTTGATTTAGGATTTAGGATTCGGTTAGGATTTGATTTAGGATTTAGGATTTGGTTAGGATTTGATTTAGGGTTGGAATTTGATTAGGATTTGGTTTAGGATTTAGAATTTGGTTAGGATTTGATTTAGGGTTAGAATTTGGTTTAAGATTTAGGAATTAGGATTTGGTTAGGATTTGGTTTAGGGTTCAAGATTTGATTAGGATTTGATTTAGGATTAAGATTTAGGATTTAAGATTTTATTAAGGTTTGTTTAGGGTTTAAGATTTAGTTAGTTTTTGGTCTAAAGTTTGAATAAAGTCCAATAGGAATTTAACTAAGATTAAATTAAGATTGAATTGAGATGTATTTGAAATATATTTGTGATCATTCTAATATTTCTTTAAGATTTTTTATTATTTCTTTGTAATTCCTTTGAAGTTTTTTTGAATTTGATTAAAACTTGCTTAGCATTATTATGGTTTAATTAGAGTTTAGTTAATATTCTATTTGAGTTAAGATTTTATTGTTGCAATTTTCATTCTACTTTCTACAACCAGATGCCTGGAGCATTTTCAAGCAAGATTTCACATATTACGACAACGGATCATGGATGGTCAATAGGAAGAATTGCTCCAGAATTACCAAACATGGGATTTGGAACAGGAGAAAGTCAGGTGCCAATTACAAGTAGAATAGGAAAAGGTAGAGTTATTGGTGCAAGAAAAAGCGGTATTGAGTGACCAATATAGATATGAAAGAGAACGGTTGAGGGCTAAAATTGAGGCCTTGAATGTTGCAGTGACAAAATTGGCAGATGATTTAATCATTATTGGTCAGTTATAAGTATCGATGATGCTAATTTTTGAAGTTTCAGAATGGATGAGTCAGCATCAACACCAGTTGGAATTGAGAGATGCCCAGATCCTGAAATTGGAGGCTCAAGTTCGTGAACTAGAAGAGTACGATGAAGACCTTTTAGCCTAGTTGAGGAAGGAACTGATGGAAGAATTGGAGGAAGATGAAAGTTTGCAGTTGGAACCAGAATGAGTGGAATTAACAACAGATAATGTAGAAGTTGATCCTTTGGGTGGGCCATGGATGATAGCAATTTTGTAGAGTTTTATTAAGTAGTTATTTTTAGATATGTATCAATGTTGTATTTGTGAGGACACTATACAGTTAGAAATGGAACTATGTATAATGGATAGAAATTCGTTTTTTGTAAGATATTGGTAAAGTAGATTAATCATTCCTAGGATAGTCAATTCAATAGGTTAGATGATTAAATTAGTTGTGTAAATTGGTTAAGTAAGAAATGACAGTTAGAATTTGGAATTTTAGAGATAAGTATATAGCAGTTGAAGTAGATTTTGATAGGACCAGACTGTGATAGTCATGAGCCAGGATAAGCTTGATGCTATCTCTTCTTTATTTTGTTGTTTTAGGTTTTGATCATTGTAAAGTGAATTTGTGGAATAAATCAGAGATTGATTTATAAGATATTGAGTATGTAATGGGAGTACTCTATGATTGAATTATTATTAGAAGATATTGAAAGATTATTATCAAATTTTGTGAATATTGATTATGGATGGAAGATTATGATCCGTTGTTTGTTGAGAGTTGTATGTTTCGAGAGAAGAAGTTTGTGATTACAGAAATTGTATGAAGTCAGATTGGTTGGAATCGAAGTCTATTATTTCCGGTATTGGAGGGAATATATGTGTGTTTTGAACAGTCTTTAGAGAGAGTGCAGAATTGCACTTTGTTGTTATCAGTTGATGAATGAGTATTGTTAGTAGGAGAAAGCATTGTGGTGTTCCTTGATATTTTAGTGGTTCAGAATACAGTTAATTGTGTGACCTTAATATGTAGGTTCATGCAATTAGTCTTTCCCTGCGTTCAAATTCCCCTCTACAAGTTTATTCTGAAAGGAATTTGTAGAATAAGTAAAATGACAATTACAAAAAATAAATGTAGAAGTAGAATAAATAACATTATAAAAGATATTTCTTTAGATAAGTTTCTATTGGTTAAAGGATTGGCTCTTGATATATAAGAAGGCCAAAAGATAAAGTAGATGAACAGACCAAGGATCTTAAAAGTATATAGAATATGCTAAAAATATATTTTCATAATAGATAAGGTAACATAGATAGTCTCGGTAGAATGTTAGATGGATATATTCATCAAAGAATGGAAGTTGTTCATTAGAGCAATAGCCACCACCTATAAATAATAAGTGTTGGAAGTGAGAGATATCTTATTCCATACACTCGTTGTGTGCAACCTTACTAACGCTAATTGTTATGACTTCATAATACTTGTTTTTCAATAATCACAATAATTATTTGATTTTTGGCTCACATACATTATATAAACACGAAATTGCATGGATGAATTTATGTAGTATTACAAACATCTACTATAATAAGAACACTTTAAAATTTCTTGTTAGAACATCAAATATGCTAATGTGTAATAGTATTTGCATCCATTTTCCTATCATTATTCAAAATTGAGTGTATGATTTAATTATCTAATACAAATTCAAGCTGCACATTTCATCATTACAATAATTCATCATCAAAGAATAAGCATAGTTAAAAATGGTCTTTATATTCAAATTTGTATAACCTAATGTATAATGAAACATCATAAGATCAAATAACTTGCAATAATGAGAGCAACATCCCTCTTAACTAGACACTTTGGTTTCTATTTTATTACTTTAGAAATCTTCCACACAATCCTAACTGGAGCTCTGAGTCAAATCATTATAGACTGGAGATTCTTTTTGAAAAGGTTTTTCATGCCACAATGGCTAGTGATGCCAAGCATTTTCATAACCTCTGGCTCAAAGCCCACTACATTTACAAAGAATTGAACTGGAGGAACCTGCCCACTTGACCGAGGATAGAATTCAGTGGTGTCTAGACTGGGTTTCGGATGTGTTAGGAACATTTAAAGAATGACTCAGGTTAAGGAAAGACCTGACCCATATTGAACCAACTTGGACTCAGCCAACCAACAGCAATGGAATGTGAAGAAAACTAGTTTAATACTTCAGGACTCGTTGGGTGTTGCATTCAAACTGAGGATTATACATGTGACAAGCCTAAGGGAAGATGATATGGGAATGATTAATATTGGGTTATGTAGAGCCATCTGAGTCATTGTCCATCCCAACAATGTCCATATTCTCCATCCCCTTCCTCCATGGTATGAACCAATCAAGTTTTACCAAACTCTAGACATCATATTTATAACATCTTTGAGTAACAAAACATCATTTGGTAGACACAGTAACACATCCACAGTTGAGCGGTAAACAAGGCACTGAGACAAGTCCTGATGCATGTAAACCAAAGAAAAATGTGCATGTAAGTAGCAAGCAGTTGCAGAGACTGTTACCAAGAAGCAGTAAAACCATCAAGTTGCAATTGTTGTTCTATGCAAATTTAAAGCACCAAGCAAGTACAGAACAAATAACACAATCAGAGAAGCACCGAAAATAGTCAATCCTGCAAATAAAAAGGTTTGAAAAGGCATTGATTACCTTAAAGATGTAGGAAGTAACGGCTCAGATGCATAAATTGTACAGCGTACAAAGCTCTAACGCACTCAAGTATGAAACAACTGAGGTGGAAGCTCTGGGTTAATGTACTGTATCCATCTATAATGCAGCAACACATCCGATAACAGACGTCACCACGACTAAAATAGAGGAGAATCACGACTAGAGTGGACCCCAGAAGGCCAAAAAATTCTTCACTAAGCACTTGATCTAATTACAACATCCACGATATAGATGATACCTGGAAAATGTACCAAAATGTGACTACTCACCACAGACTGTCCCAGTGGTTGCTTGCCAACATTTTGTACAAAAACACTCGACTCTTTTCCTATACAAAACAGTACCGTTTAGCTGGCTGCATCAGTCCAAGTACAGTGACTAGTGAAACCAGCAGATCTTTACAAATTTTTGTACTGCACTCTACTCTGAGAAAGTACACATACGAGTGCAACATTAACTTTACCACAACGGCAAACATCTTGAAGGTGTTGATGCCAATTCATGTCACTGTCATCATCCTATTTTATCCTATACCATACTTTTCACCTGCCTCCCGCATTTACTAGGTCGCTACACAACACAGAGCACAACATCAATAACCAAATTCCTTCAATGTCTAGATTGAATTTGTGCGTCAACTAGGACATCAATCAAACAAACAAACATAAGTAAGCAACAATCATAAGGACAACCAAAATTTTATTTTAATGGTAACATCTAATCTTCAACGATGAAAAAACTTACCATGACCTTTGGGTTGAAGTGCTGCTGCCATCAACCGAAGTTCACTGGCAACCTCAGAGAAGCTGGGCCTGGACGCAGGTTCTGCTGACCAGCATCTCTCCATCAGCGATTTCCAAAGTGGGTCACACCAAGTAGGTATTGAAGGTCTCAATGTGTTGTTAACAATTCCTCCTGGACAAAGAACACCGAATACCATTAAACTACATGCAAAAATGTTCGAAAGCACGCGCATAATGTATAATTCGTAAAATACAAGAGCAAGACCAACAGTCACTGCATCACCATTACCAACATCTTCTTCCAAACATCTACATACAAATAACGACCAACAACAAAGACAAGGAACCATAGAGGGTAAAATGAATCTAGGAGTGAACTTCGAACCTATAATCGCTCCGTAATGCATATTTGCGTAAGGCTCTTCTCCTGTGAGCAGCTCCCACATAACTATCCCAAAAGAAAATACGTCTACCTGCACGGGTTTAAAGAACGTTTGAATGAGATAAAGAAGACTTAACTAGCAAGACTCCAAAATATAAAAATAGGAGTTGCTATCAGCAATCAAACAACCGACATCTCCAGACGGATGTATCGTCAAAACTGAATCTCCAGCTAACACACGAAACTATATTAATATATAGGAGTAATTGAATATATTTAGATAAACTGAAAAATATAATGAACAAATCACATACTTTCTCAGTGACCAAAGTGCTGCTCCCATTCAACAATTCTGGGGCCATCCATGGCAGGGTCCCTCGCACACCACCTGACACCATGGTTTGATGTTTCACTTTTGATAGTCCTAGGTCCCCAACCTGGAGATCACACAGAAGAATACAACCTACCCCGCGTTATATGATGCATTCTCAACACATAGGATACATATTGGCGCTTAAATTAACTTTAAATCAACGTAAAAAGAGCTTTTCTTCCTTGTTCTTAGATAAAGCATTGGAAATGGTCCAAAACCTCACCAAACAATAACTCTCCAACAGTGCATCCTCAAAAGCTCATTGCGCTCTCGAATCTCAGAACACAATGAGCATTTGAGGACATTGAGTTGTTGGATGAAGGATGTCACTATGTAAGATTCTGAAGGAGTTTATTTAATCAACAAGCCCCGACTTTCTGGATATCAGATCCTTTTTTAGGATGATTCTGGGCCTCAGCTGCACATATTTGTAAAACAATATCGTACAAGATCTTATCATTAATAGAATACAAGTGTTCCAGTATTTTGTTAGCGGAGTACCTTACAAATAGGTCGATGAGGATCTCTCATGTTAACAAGTAGGTTGTCACACTTCAGATCAAAGTGCACAATGTTCTTATTGTGGAGATACTCCATTCCAAAAGCTGCATCCATTGCTATAAGTAATCGCTTGCGGCGATCAATAGTTCTGACGCACAGAAAACGAGACAATTTAAGTCACAAAATTATGGATAGCACGAAACATCTACTAAAAGAAGAAATGACAAGCTGTACCCAGTACATTAGGAGCAGCTCATGAAGGGACTCAAGTAGGCCTTAAAACAATACCTATCTTTTTTCTGCAAGACTTGCTTCAGTGAACCATTCACCATGAACTCCGTAACAGTTGCGAGTGTCCCTCCAGGACCGTCACGAACTACTCCATAAAAGGCAACCACATTAGGATGATGTAACTGACTCAATGTGCATGCCTCTCTCCAAAAATCAGCAATCTGCAACAAACACAACTCCACATTACTGACAGAAGTACATGCAAACGATATACCTATACATTTGAATACACTCTGTAAAGGTAGACCCTAAGTCAAAGACGTTCAATTTGTAAGTTAAGCCATATATCAGAGATCCACTAGAATACACCCGACTATCATACCAGGCGATCTCTCTCAGCAGGCCGACCAGCAAAACAGCTGGCTTTGATTCGCTTGATAGCAACGTCGGTGCCTCTCCATTTCCCATGGTACACAGTTCCAAACGTACCAGACCCAAGCTCTCGCATTTCTTCAAGATCAGCATTCAAGATAGTCTGCAAAAGGAGAGATTTTATCAAGTGAGCTTCTGCGATTTTTGAAGAGATGTTTACTACAGCATCGTTAGTGCGACATAGCATTAAATCAGGTCAGACAGAATATTGATCACCTGCAGACCGCTTCTGATGGCTTCAGCTTCGGCGTCCTCTGCAGTGCCAGTATTACTGAAACCCTTCGTCAGGTCTTCATGGTTACCAGCTCCAGCCCCGGCAGCCGGTTCCTGCAAGTAACCGGCAGTTTATATGTAGGCTAAAAACCCTGTGAAAAGAGCAGATATTGAGAAGCTCATCAACTAGCGAATACGTCGGGCGTTCCTAAAACTGTTTGAAAGGCTCACCTCAACTGTTGGCTCTTCTTCCACTATAGGAGGAGGTTGCAAATCCAAATCCTCCTCTTGCCCGGTAATATCCAGAATCACAGTTGGATTGTCATCAACTTTTGCATTAACGTCGGTAAGGTTCTGCACAGCGTCCCAGTTCGACGCTCCGAAGGAGAGAGCATGGCAAAGATTAGATTGTATAACAGAAGTAGTGTCTTGAGAAAAAGGCAAGCATTTGCCCTTGTCTTCTACCTGCAAATTGTTGTTGGACGACGGAGGAGCTAACATATCCCTTGTCGAGCTAACTAGCACTGAAGATGCCATGTCCTCAGCAAGATGTCCTGTAGCAGAAAGTTGTGACGTATTAAATCTGTTGCCTTTTCTCCCAGGGTCCACATTCTGCCCTGTTGATCCATCGACAGCAGCTTCAGATATTCTCGGAGCTATAGATCCTGGGTTGAAAAGAAGGGAACCCATTGAAGTGGCTTCCTGCTCTGTAATAGAAGTACCAACGGAGGTACCTGTATTGGCAGATGCACTCGGCAAGGTGGGAATAGATAACTCCGTCGAAACCGTAATTGAAAGAGCAGGGATAGTGAACGATGTCACTCTGGTCGTCATGGGCTGCACAACCTGAGTCTGAGCTGTTGAAACGGAAAGCTGAGCTACTGGTGGAGACATACCATCAGGCAAGATCAGATTATGGAAACTGTAAGCCGTTGAGCTAATGTCCTCTGTCGCCAACGCGTCGTTACCTTGTGAGATGATAGAATTGTTATGTAACCGCTGCGAAGTAATATCTTCAGAAACTTCAATTCGAGTTCCACTTGAAGGTCTGCTTTGCCCGCCTTGTGGAACTTCTGACCCAGATGAATGTTGAAAACGATCTTGTTTATTGGTCTTATCACGTATTTGTAGAGAGGACTCCACTTTTGACTCGTTTGCATCATTAATCCCTCCCCATCGCAATTCGGCAGAATTTGTTAACTCGATATTCCCCAGTCTCACATTTGACGTGTCTGAAAGATGATGGAACAAATTATCGAAGGCAACAACTGCTGCCTTGTCATCCGTTTCCATTTGAGACGCCAACTTGTTGGAAGAGGAATCAGAGGACAGATGATTCACTAGTGTTCCTGCAGGTTTACTTTCATGATCTGGCAGAACTTCTATAAGTTTCGGTTGAGGCTTGGCGAAAAAGGCTGATTCATTTTTCCGTCCAACAATTGAAGGAATCTGTGGCATATCCACAGCTACTTGACCAAGAGTGGACGGTTGAGGGCCTACTGCATATGATTGAGTTCCAGTGCCCCTAGAATGCTGGTTATTTGGAATCGGAGACTCTACCACATCAGAATTCCGAAGTAAGTAGGAGTCTGACATCGCTAGGAGATCTTCAGAATCTTCAGGCAAATGCAAAAAAAAAACTTTAGGTGCTTCCGAGTCCACCCCATAACCTTCTTTCGCATTTTCATTTTGACCTGTGCATGCCCTCCCACTCCGCCAAGGCCTGGTCTCTTCCGCATCACGACCACACTGATGGACAACCCAATCCATGGGTTTATCTAGGAACTTTGGGTGTGCTGATAGTGGCTCAGCTGAGGGAATATTGTGTTCTTGAAAGTCGTCTCGAGAGTTGAAGAGAGAGGGCTGAAATGACTGCTGAGGGATCCTCTCTCTCTGGCGCCTCCCATCCCCACCGTCTAGCGTTCCCGAGTAGTAAGACTCTGAAAAGCCACCAGAGCCGTCTTGGAATGGATTGTGCCCCAAGTACTGAGGAACTTGGGCCCTTGTCACTCCTTCCGTATATTGACTGTGTCCATTATTATGACCATCGTACAAAAAGAGTTCTTGTTGAAGTATGTCCGGCGTTACGGTTACTGGTTGCTGGAGTGGTCGAAGGAGTCTATCATCCGTTTGGCCAAGATGATCTCTGTAGCGTGGAGGAGATGTAGCCGGCCTTAATCTAGATACACCGTCGCTATGGGGATGGTTTCTGGGGTTATGCTGTTGTTGCTGGTCTGCATAGTTTGGCCCAGCATAAGTGCGAGGAACCTGCTGCAGCTGCGACTGGGATTGCATATTCGACGCGTGGAACCTTGGTGATGTGGGGGCAGAACCTGCTCCAACATTGTAAGAGACTGCTGCAGTAGAGCCAACAGGACCCATTGTGTTTGCAGATATAGATCGTTGCATAAAAGGTGCGAAAACCTCTTCCCCTTGAACTTGACTGAGGTGATCAGCTGGCCGATATATAAGCTGATCGATAGGCGAGGCTGTCAATATGTTTTGGAAAGGACTCCTGAAATGGGGTAGTTGTTGCTGCTGCCCAGGCGCAATCGGCTGTACCAGTACATCGCTAGTGGACTGCACGAGCTCCACCCGCCTGTATACATGTGTCTGTTCCTCAAATAAATGTGTTGGCCAACCACCCTGTTGCTGTGTCTGTTGTGACTGCTGGTAACTGTGACGTTGTCTGGCGGACGAAGTCGCCTCCAAGTGTTGTTCAGAAAGGCGTGTCAACTTACCGTGAGAAGGCACACGGGGAATGCGAACCTCGGAGAGACGGCGTAAATCCTCGCGAGCAGCAAGATCCTGCTGACCACCCACCAAATCACCCTCGTGTTGCATTATCCTGGGAGATTCGGAACCTCTGTGCATATCTGAGGCGTTATACAGGTGATCGTGCAAAGTCGAAGCAGTAGACAAGTTAACTCCAAAATTGTCTGTCTCTAGAACATTCCCATCTGCTTGGACAACAGTATATTGGTGCCCACTCATATTGGAGTGTTGTTCAGGATGGAACGGAAGGCGCATGTCTGGTATAAAACCTGCCTGTTTCAGAACCCTGGGTAGAAGTGGGGGAGACGAGGGCGCAGAAGATGAAGAGGGTGCTGGTGGGATAGAAGAAACAGGTAAAGCAACTGGCACATGATGGATCAAGGAGGCAACATCCTGAGATATCTGGGGTGCTAATAAAGCCACCGGTACGCTGTCTTGTGGCCGATTAAGGCTCCAAGCATCACCACCAACGTCAATCAAGCTGTCCATAACAACTGGCGCTACAGCAAGCGAGCCTCCATCTAGTGAGTGCTTCCTAGAGCCAGTCTCTGAAATGCCATTCACCGCATCAACATAACGTTGCTCGGGATTCCTCTGGTCTCCTAAGGACTCGTTCAGATGCACAGAGTCATGATCCACGTCAGAAAAAAGAAAGAGTCGTAACCTTGGAGAAGCTTCTGCCGCCTGGAGCCGGTCGTACTCTTCCATCATATTAGCAACATCCTCATTCGAGGATACAGAAACTAACGCATCAAGATCTTCTTCTGGTAGCTTGTACTTGATAGTGTGTGCTTGAGCATACAATTCTGCCATCTTCAGAATGAGTTCATGATAGCTGATATCCCGACTCACTGTTATCAGTCTAGTCTCTCCTCCCACATAACGCAGCTGATTATCGGTTGGCCTTGGCAAGATCTTACCACCATAACTGCATAACAGTTTCACGCGAGGAAAAGAATAATCTTCCGAATGCGTTGATATTTCGTCTGCCATCACTGCTTTCACCAAACGAAACATGCACTAACATCAGTTCAAAAAATAGACTCGGCATTCACCAAAGATGAGACATACCCTCTTTATATTCAGATATCCAAACTAATTAGAATAACCACCCTTTAGAAAAGCCTGCTTCTACGTTTAGGTTGAACAACAAGTTTCTGACTAATAGGATGCCGGCCACTCCAGGTGATACTCAGGCCACCCGAACTAAACAAGAGTGCTTCCCCGATATTATTGCACGGATGATCATTAGGATCGAAAAAGTACAAGACAGTAGCTCCAGAAGAGAATATTCGGAGCTGGCATTGATAATTTTCAAGGTAACCCTACAGATGCGCTCAGCAAGACCGAAATTTTTTCAAGATCAATCAAATCAACAGACTGTCGAACAGTAACAAAAGCCAGCGACACTGCAGCTCAAAAAAATCCTCCCAATTATGTTATCAATCAAGAGCATTCGATATTCGTTGACTAACCATCGTTAAAATTGGTAAACACATTTAGATGTGCCAATGGATGACCAGCATGCTTCCTCCGTCTGCTGTGAGAAATCGGTGAGCCATCCTGAGTTAATTCCTGCGCATCTTCATCTTCTGAGAACAGAGACATGTCTGGAAGGTGATTTCCTCCTCCCCTCAGTTTCTGAAACGTTGGTAAGGATCCCTCTGCTGAGGGGTAGACTTGATCTCCAATGGCAATGCTTTCAATTGATGAAGGAGATCCTTCATCTGCACCTGGCTGCCAAGCTGAAGTCAAATGACGCCTATTGAGAGGCCCATTGTGCATCGAATCCTTCGCATTTGGATCCATAGGTGAAGGTCGCAAAGGCCGATCCCCACCATGTTCCAGAAAATGCGCTCTGGTTTGCGAATTGACGCCTCCTTGTCGCGCCATATGAACTGTCATCAATGTTCCAAGTTCCAACCGTCAATGCTGCACCCTCTATTGCATATCCTTCTACTCATCTACTACGATCCTTCAACTCAGAAGATATTCCCCACTCCTTGATCGTCGTAACTTTACTTCTACCCCTCAACAGCTGGAATGGGCAAAATGAGCGGAATCGGAAGATCAGAAAAAAGCGCTTAAGTTTATCGGGCTCTCCAACAGAAATGCAGAATCGATATTCTCACAACTAAACGAAAGATCGAAATGGTCACAATACACAAGGTCTGATAAAAGGCCTAGGGTTGTGAGAGAATGACCAAAAACCACAAATGGCTAAGCCAACAATTCCCAAGTTACTCCCACAATTTTCAGAAACTTCCGAACCCGAGGACATGACAAGACAAAGTAAGATCGTGATGATCTCCACTGGCAGCGACCGCGGCTTCCTAAAACCAGAGGTGACATGAGAAAAAAACCCTTGGATGAATTTGATGTCTACTCTCAAGTACCCCAAGCACAATGTAACAATTACCGACTCCCCACAGGTATGTAACCGCACCCACGCGAATAAAACGAACCGATATGCGTCACATCGCCACTCCAACCAGCTCCTTGAATCACCTCCACAAAACCCAATCAAACTAACGCGCAATCAAGCCTCAATAACCGCAACAACGACCAACACATATTTCCACGACGCCACGTAAACGGCAGGGAATTATTGTCCAGATCATATCGTCCGCACGAACACATCCACTCCCACACTTCACCAAAATATTCAAAAGCGAACCCAATTTCGCCACGCTCATACATTCAATGTGTGCCAACCACTGCGATGAATCCTCTAAACAGCACAAAAAGTTGACCACACGCTCCCTCCGCCGCAATCAATAGGAGGAGAAGAAGAAGAAGAAGAAAAAAAAAATCTCAGAGTCCCCCACACCAATCCCTACCAAAACCCCGTACCATTCACATCCTTGTGGCGCATCACCACCACCACCGAACCCCGTCGCGAGAGCCGCACTGGCTTGACCACACCCAGACCAACACCAGGGAGAAGGACTCCCTCGCCACTGCTGGCTGGGCTTGGCAATATGGCATCACCGCTGCTGCTGCATCAGGAAACGCACCCTCATCGATGATGCGAATGATTCATCCGCATTGGCACGGTAGCAGTGCTACCCATGGCCAACGCCACGAAGAGAGAGAAGAGAGAAAGAGAGATTGAGAGAGAGAAAGAGAGAAGGAGAATGAGAAAGCAAGGCAGACAATCAGGGCGGATAATCGCAACGTGGCGCGGCTCCTCCTCCGCTGTTCGCTCCCTCACTCGCTCGCTGAGAGAATGAATGGAATGGCGTTGGCGAGAAGGTGAGGATGGTTGTTTGTTGATGGTGTTGATGTTGTTTGTTGTTTTGCTGCTGAGCCTGCCCCCCCCCCCCCTCTGCCCTCACTCCCCTATGACCCCATCACCCACCCCCCCCCCCTCCCCCATGGGGCAGGCACTCAAGCCCGCGCACATGCCTCCATGTCCCTCCCTCCCCATTTCTCGCTTTCACTCTCTCTCTTTCTCTCGATGGCATGAACCCAGTCCTACGCTCTGTGTCTGACCCACCCATCCCCTCTTCTTCTCAAGTAAATTCCCTCACCCACTCTTTTGACAAATTCTTAATGCACTATTTTACACATGTTGTTGTTATATAATGTTGGAGATCTGAAGGAACATAAGAAGAAAGTCCTTAAAACTAAACACGAATATTTTCACAACATTCATTCAAGATGTGATGTGTTATTTATCTAAGAACACTAATTATGTGGTGCCAAAGCTCAAGAATATAGAGACAAGTTTTGTTGCCAAACTCTTTATTTCTTTAATTTTATTTTGGAAGCAACCCCTAGCAATGTGAAGGATCCAAATGGCACCATATCAAGGTGGGATATGCATTCTTATACCTCCCTACTTTAAACATTTAGACTAAAACATAGATTCTTTGCTTAATAAGTGGATGTTATGAATCATACCACTAAATATTCTACCAAAGAAATTGGTCATTGCCTATGTATATGAATCAAATTTATCAATTGAAAGCAATAATCTATAGATACATCTTATTTTTTATATTTCTAAATATTTATTCAGATTTTAATTATAAAATATAATAAATATATATATATATATATGGAAAGATAAAATATATATAATTTATTTTTTTACTTATTTCTATTTGAAAGACTTATTTTTATAGAAATAGACTTAAATATTCAAGCATTAATATAATAGAAGACATAGCAATCTTAGCCAAATTAGACCATTTTTGTATTTGCAAAGATACATTCACAAATAAAAAGATCATAACTTAAAAGATTTGAGGAGATACAATATTATCTAATTATTTATTAATAGAATTATATATGTATTTCTTAATCTAATAAGTAAAGAAGAATCTTAAATAGATCCACTCTTTTATTAAATCAATCTATTCTATCTTAATTATCATTAAAAAAAATTGATGGTTTCTAGTCTTTTATCCCTCCGCTCCTTGCTTCCTTTGTTCCTAGCTCTCTTCTCGATCCCTTATGTTTCTTCTTAAAGATTTTGCTATTATATTACAAAGCAAGAGAGTTGATATAGACTTGTGTATTTTACTTTATGGTGTAATGACAATAGGGGGGTGGGTGATACAACATTAAACATGAGACAAGACCCTCTAGGAAGGTAGTTGCAAGCAATAGAATATGTATGAAATGCCTTCCATGGTGTTTTTGTAAAGGCTCTAATATCAGATTTTCAACACTGTAAATCTGCACATAGGCAGACACAAAGCCACATATACACACACATACATACCTTGAAGTTGCAAATAAAAGCCAAGACTTCTTATATTGAGTAATTTAGTGGGTATGAACATAGCTAAAACCAATTCTTAGATAAGGTTGCATTACATACCTTGCAACAAGGAGCAATTGTGCATCAATGCATATAGCAAAGACAAACACCACCATGCATTGTGTTTGGTGCAGCTAATCATATTGGATCCAACTCCACAATAGCCTCTTGAATCCATGCAGTTGCTTGCATGATTTGGCTAGCTGGAGGTGCAATTGATTTTGGAAGTTGCAGATATGATCAACAATTGAAGCCAACACAATGCTCTTGCAAGGAGGTTGAAGGTATTTCTAAATTGAGTACACCATGGTCAAAAAGGTGTCATTCATTAAAAGTAGATCCGAAGGTTATATGTAATTACACACCTTCTCAATGGTAAACTCTTTGACTTAAATGCAACTAGAGGCAAAGCTTTGTACAATCATGTCCTCTACAATTTTAGACCTAAATACAATGAGTGTACCACATTGATATTTTAGAAGGCATAAGCATCAAAAGGCATTATGTGGTTAATATAGCTTTATGTTTTTATTCTAATATAGGTTACACTCTTATGCAAATCAAGAATTTGGAAGCCAAAGCTGGAGTAGTATTCAAACTTATAAGATCTTTGGCCTAAATTGAATATGTTTTGGACTGTAAAGAACATTTAATTTGTAGTTATACTATATTATCTGGCACATCAAACTACTTATAAAACTTAGAGAGTTTTTTAGTACCTAATATTGGTATCACTCCTAGATTTGCATTTTATTCTATATCATATATTGTAACTGAAGAGGTTTAATAAACACTTTTAGAAGTTGAAGTTCTTAGTGGTTTTTTTGAGCCCTTCAATAGAAATTGTATTTACTTTCTCTCATATAAGAAACCTTTTTGTTTGTAGGAATCAACTTGATCTTGAACATGTCCATTAACTTTAGATTTGGTAGACAAAGTTTTATTGAAAGATAAGTCAAGAAAAACTGCAACCTTAGGAAAATGTGTGAAAATTTAGTAAGTAACATTCTATTTCAATTGAGGCTATAAAGCAAAGAATGAAGGGATGGAGAATAGAAGGAATAGAGAATAGATGGAGCGAGGTTGGAAACCATCATTTTTTTAATAGTTAAGATAGAATGGGTTGATTTAATATAAGGGTGGATCTATTTAACATTCTCCTAAATAAAAAAAAGACTAAAAAAAAAATTCTTTAATTACTCTACTAGTTAAGAAAAAGTGGATAAAATGTAGAAAATTGTGGATAAAGAAAAGGATTTATGATGAAGATTATAATCTTTTATCAAATTTTATTAAATAATTGTATAAAGCCAAAGCTGCCTAAAACACCAAACATAAATTTGATTGCAAAATGAAACTATCACAAATCCAATCACTGCTCCAAGAAATTTCATTGATATGTTTTTTTAAGATAAAATTACAAAAATAAATAAATAAATTATCCAACTAAATGATTAAAAATTGAATTTCAGAAAACTAAAGCAAGGCAAGACCGTATAATAAATCTAAATATGAATTTATTTAATACAGTAAAAAAATAAACGTCTATATATTTATCATTATAAATTTAAAAAATAATCAAACGTCTGATAAACTAAGAACAATCTATTACGAAAAACTATAAATAAACACTTTTGAAATTTAAATAGAAAAAAATTATATGAAACATTTTTAATTTTAAAAAAATAAGAAAAAAACAAAGGAATCTATTGTATCACAATAATATTTTAAGAAAAGTAAAAAGTAAGAAATAGATACAAAAAAAATTAGTTAAAAAAATTGTCATTAAATTTTTAAGAATACTTTGAATTATAGAAGAAAATAAGTTCTTTAGTATAGTCAAATATTCCATATATTATTAATTTTTTTCTATGAAATATTATCTAGATTAAAATAAAGATGTAATATGATCATATGGTATTGATTGGTTATATTCATCAAAATAGATTTTAGTAAAGTTTGATGAGGATGTCTATTAGCATTCTATTTCTGTTAATGTAACCAAAAAAAAGTTTATGGCAATGTAACCGTTTATAAAAGCATTAAATAGTCAAAAATGAAGAAAATCAAACAACTTAATAAAGAAAAAAGAAAAACCAATAAGTATCAAGCCAAAATGTAAATTTAATTTATATTATCTAATACAATAAACATTAAAAAAATTCTCAATAAGATTAAAAAAAAAAAAAAAAAAAAAGTAGACTTTTAGTTTTTGACTAAATTAAATGTAGCAGAGAGTGCTACTATTTCTAAAATTTTAAATATGATCGAGTGAATAAACTCTTGTTTTATTTGTTAGTTTTTTGATAGAAAATTATAAAGAAACAAACAGCTTACAATGCAAACTTAAATTAAAGATTATTCAACTCAAGTCAAGAAGAATATAATGTAGCAAATATCAAATAGAATAATTATAAGAAGAAAATGATTAATTTGATTAGCAAAATTTATGAACCAAAATTATGACAAAGAACAATAGTATGCTAATGCAAATGATATAGTATAGATGCATAGCAATAAACATATATAGAGAGTCGAGATTCATCTAAAGATTTCCCATTAGATTTTGTTCTATTGTGTTTTCTACAATAATCTAGAATTTTAAAACAGATATTTAAAACCACAAACAAGCAAGAAGAATATGAAAGTAAGATACCTCAAATAATATGTAAATTGGTTCCAGATTACTACAGTTGAAGTCTGTAGAAATCCTTTAAAATAAATGTGTCTTTGAATGCTGAAGACTGTTACACAAAGCTTACACCAAGACTGTGTGATTTATATGAAAGGTATAGCACTTAAACTTGACAGGTATGTAAATGGCACTATTCACATCAAAGTCATACAGTGAGAGCTTGCTGAAATTTAAGTGAATGAACATATTAGCATGAAAAGTTCAAGCTCAAACTATCTTTTCAATGCACACACACAACACAAGGAGGAACCACAAGGCAGACAGACTAATAAAAGAGGATTCCTTGTGTTGTGGTGTGTGTGTATGTGTGGATCATAAAGACAGTTTCAGACCCTTTGGCAAAGACAAAATTATGGGGGTTGTGAAACAAGTGTGGCTGGCTCACTCCCTCCCTCCCTCCCTCACTCAGAGGTGGGTCAGGGCCCAATGGGAGAGACCCCTCAAGGGAATACAAATACCTCCATCCATCCATCCATCCATTTTGTGCTTTGACTGACTGTGTCCACAGCCCTAAACCCTTCCTTCCATGGCTCTCCTTCAAAGGGGGTGGGTGGGTGGGTGGGGTGCCCAACTGGTGGGTGCATTGGAATTGCCCATGGACACAGTCAGTCAGTTATGGCCACACACAAACAAAGCCCAATCAATCAGTTGGAGAGAGAGAGAGTGTGTGTGTGTTTTGATTCTTCTTCACCCTTCCTTCCTTCCTTCCCTTTTTTCTGTAGAGAAACAATGAATGCTTCTTCACTGTTCATTTCCTTTTCTGCCTTCTGATGTCCCAAACAGACCATATGTACCTCTCTCTCTCTCCATCTATATACACACCCACATATCTATCTATCTATATCTGTATTGATAATCATAGATAAGTAACTAACTTCCTGCTCACAAGGCATGGCTCCAGTCTTCAAGGAAGCAAGAGTCCAGCATGGAACAAGCAATGGAGTGGGGAAGAAGGAAGGAATTTTGAGAGTGGGTCTTTGTGTGCAGGAGTCAAGGTTTGCTGCTATGTTGGATACCTGCCACCTCTCTTCCATTTTGGATGATATCACCAGCCTCCTCAACACCAAATGATGTTTAAGTGTGTATATATATATATATATATATATGAGAACACAAACATAAATAATCAAGGAATGAATGGTTTCTTGTAATAGATCACTAATGGATAGACAATCAACAGTCAAGGGTTCCTACTTTCATTTAATAAACCAAAAGTCTTCAAGGAGAGAGAGAAATGAAATGAAGCTTAGTACTGTACATGGTCATTGCTTCATTGGGTGGGCTCCACAACTGGATACACTTTTTAGGAACCACCCACAGCCTCAAACACAATAAAAACATCCCACTCCCTCTCTCTCTATCTCGTTTTTTTCCGTTTTTTGTGCAAAGCAAGCATAAGAAGAAAAGAAGAAAGGCAGGTGCATTCATCTGGAAGAAAGTGTTTTACATTTGCTTGCTGTTTTCACCATCCACCCTTACTGCATGAGAATACTCATATTCATAGTAAATAATAATAAATAATGATGATGGATGAGGAAGATGGAACCATGGAATGAGAGCCCAGAGATAACAAAAATAGTAAATAATAAAAAAACTCCCTCATAGACAGGTTGATATTTGTAATCTACCATAGTGATGACATGATAATGATTAAAAGGATGAGTGACTTATGACAAATAGCATGATCACAATAATTGGACATCTGAATTCTATTTGTGGAATATTTTGATGTATGTTGTTAAGTATAGAATGTTAAGTAGAACAATGAATTATTTTAGGAAAAGTATCATAAATACTCTTAAAATTTGTCAAATTATCCAGAATATCCTTGTATTTTTTATAATATCAAATCTATCCCGTTGTTTTATTATAATAGCAAATCTGCCCTTCAATGTGATAAGCTATAACATTCTTGTTTTTTTAGTTGGAAGTAGGGCCCAAAGCAAGTGTCATGTAGATTCTGGATTGGCACTTTGTGTCACATCTTGGGCACTTCACAAAATGGACATTATCTTTGCCGTCACAAGTGTAGGTGCACGTGTGAGGTACATTGACTATTTCTACTTTGGCCTTTTCCTTGATAATGGTGTATTAATTAGGGATTGAATATATTATTACTACATGTAAGAAGCACATCATGATGTTGGCAACAACAATGGACATGGCATTCTTAAAAACAATATCTGAATGTAAGAAACTCAAAGAAAAAAAGAAGGACAAATTCAACTTCACAGAGTAATCACACATCTTTATAATATTATCTATTATAATTCAATGCTGACAAGTAGGGTTTATCAATTTGTGAGTAAAGTAAAAAAGTATTAAAGGCCTTTACACTCAATAACAAATGTAAAGAATATTGCAATGGAGTCAAGAAAATGCTTTGAAGTATTATCTAACTAGCTCAAAACATTATTGTCATCAGGGATGTAGCATTCACTTAAAGATGTTGTATTAAAATGTTGGTTCTTTCATTTAAGGATCATATAGTCTAAGTTGACAATATCCATGCCTTACAATGTAGTATACATGTGATCATATCCAATAGATAGAATTGCATCATGTACTGACTTAATTGTAATACAAAAAGTACTTTATAGAAGCAAATTTATACTTCATTGTTAATTATTAGTTTAGACCATTGTCAACTAATCTATTTGTAATCTTTTATTAAAAGATCCAATTTAGTTGAAATTTTAAACTATCTATATTATATAAAAGTCAAGCCTATTTTGATAGATTGAATGATTTAATGTTCTCTCAATGAAATATGCTTTATAGAGTCTTAAGAACCTGCCACTTAGGATTTGCATAGTTGATTCCAAATGTAATGCATCCTAATATTGAATGTGTTTCAATCATTTGTGATTTTGTAACACAATCATGAAACCTTACCATTTAATAAATATCTAGTACTATAAGTAAGTTAGACATCTCACCAATAATAGCCACAATACCAATATATAAAAGAATACCTACAAATACTCATATTTTTCAACAACTTCTTGCATTGACAATCAACTAGTTGCAATGCCCATTGAATCTTTGTGGTTTATCTTGAGAGATCTAAATTAAGTTTATCAACTCAAAAGGACTATTAACTCTTAGTCAAACCAATCCACATTGCCCAATAATACTTGTATGTTAAGGATCACCAATTTTGGCAATTTTCATGACCACTCTTTATAATACAAGCATGTGAATTTTAATTAATATCATTGGCTACTCTTCCAAACAACATACATAGAACCCTCAAGCTGATCACTACACCTTCAATTTAAATTTCATACAATTATATAATTTGAAATAAGAAATGTCTATTGTTAAACTTATTGCTTCCTATAGTAGGATATGATAAAGGTTTTAATGATTCTCTATAGTATTTATCAAAGCATGTTTGTTTTTGTCATGCAAGACAATTAGTTTCTTTGAGTACTTGACCTTTTAAGCTCCAATCATCTAAAAATTGATTTCTTATCCTAAATCGCTTCATAACTTCAAAGCTCTTTGTGTCTGCTTAAGCTTAAAGCTTAATAGCTTCTCTTAACATGGTATATACTTTCAATACTACAACTTCAAGGAGAGCCAGAGGTCCTTGATCAATACACCATTACCAAGGAGAAGGCCAAAATAAAACTAGTCGATGTAGCTCATGTATGCACTCACATTGGTGATGATAGAGGCAGTATCTAATTTATGAGGTATCCAAGATGTTATATAAAGTATTACGCCATAATTTGTATGGCATGCATTCTAAGCCCTTGTTGCAACTTAAAAAAACAAGAAGATTATAGCTTATTACATTGAAGGGCAAATTTGCAATTATAATAAAAATAAGAGATAGATTTGTTATTATCAAGAATATAAAGATATATTAGCAAATTTTAAGGGTATTTATAATATCTTTTTATTATTTTATATAACTGAAGTAAAACAATACAAAAATAAAGTGACTATATTTTAATAAATAAATAAATAAATACAATTGTATTAATTATAGAACCAATAAAAGCCAAAAGATAAACAAGAATGAAGAAAAGAATTGAGAATACTAAACATGATAGTCCTCTCTTTTATGGTTTTTATTTATTTTTTAAAAATCTCTCTTATCTTTAGTTAGTTTATCTTAGTGCCTTTTATGTGATAAACTATAATATCAAATATAATCTTACATATTTTTTTAGAAATTTTTCTTATTTTATATATATATATATATATATTTAGAAATAATTTTTTATATTAGATTTTTAAAAAATAAATATAAAACAGATTAAATATTATGATTTTATCATATATAAATATAAAACAGATTAAATGCTTTAGAAATGTTTGATTATGCTTTTAAACTCTTATTTAACTTTTGAAATGCAATTTTGAATGATTGCTTTTTGAATAAGCTTATAAAAATTCTAAAAGAATAAAAAAAATATTTAAAAAGTCTAGTTTAAAATAAAACTTATTTTCCAAATACATCATTTTATAAATCAACTATGACATATTTCTAAAATAAGACATAATAGATTGTAAAAACTATTCTAAAATAATTGATCATCTCTAATACAAAAAGCTATTAAGTGGTATCAATAAAAAATAAATAAATAAATAAAAAAAAAAAAAAAACTCAACACACTTTTTGTGCATTGATTATCTCTATTTTCATACATTAAAAGGCAAATCAAACATCCATTTCAATAATAATCAGTGATAAAACTTTAAGTTCTTCCTTAACAACATTTAATGTTTCATTGCCAAAACTCTCTTCGTTTTGACTCATAGGAAATGATTTGCAATGAACTCGATTCTATTAATCCATTATTTCCTCCATGTTCCAAATCAAACTGCAAGCTTGAATTGTAGGGTATTCCATTAAATTCCATCAAAAGCATTGTGGGTTCCATGGTGTACCTGTCATGTTTGCAAAACTCACTTGTGAGTGTTGAATGTTATCCAAACAATAAAAATGGTTCTAACATGCCCAACAGCATACGGCAAGTGGTGGAGCATTCGCCCGGAACTTAGGAAATCAGCCTTGATTTCAACGGGCACACTATTTTGGGACACGTTGTGTGGGTCGTATTGCCGAACCGTCTCTGGTGGAGAAAGCTGCCTTCTTCGCCCAGTTGAAACCCAATAAAATTGTAAAAAGAAATGGGTCAAGGTGACGAAGTGCCTAAAAGTTAGGCTTTTCTGAGGGTGATGTCCAACATTACCTGCAGCACAATTCCTCTGGTTGAGAAGAAACACTCCTTTGAAATGTCTGACAACGCATCATCACGTTTGGCCAGTAGTGAGGCCTGAAGTGGTGGTCTACAAGGTGCTGACAGCTGCCCACACGCTGGTAGTCCTTGGCAGAAAGACTAATTCTTCGCAAGCAAGACCAATTCTTGGCGCACAAAAGGACTTCAACTTTGGAGTGCTATAATAATGCCGTATCTTCTTCATGTGTCTGTGCACAGACCTGGATGCAAAGAAAGTCTGTGCATTACACGCCGAGATATGTTTCCAGAGCTTAAATTTGGCTGACTTGAAGGATAACTTTTACTAGATGTTACTAAAGAGAGCAGTTCATAGCATTTGCAACTACAGAAACAGCGCGCCTGCGTAGCATATACAATGTCGAGCACCTAACATTTCAAATAGTCATGAAGAAAGTTTGCTATGCAACTCCAGCAGGATTAAGGATCCAACAGGGGTTTCGTAGCTACGGCACAGCAGAAACAGGAGTGCTTCAGTGTGCAAAAGTTTCAGGACCAGGACTCCAAGCTTGGTCAAATGAAACTTGGGGAAATACCTGTCTTCCTAAAGCTCATTCACTTTTCCTTTCACTCTTTCTCCTGGTGATTAGAATCCCCGTATTTAATAGGCATGGGTGCTAAACGAAGAGCACTTGGATGAAGTCAAATCCAAAAAGTTTTTTAAAGGCTCACGTTGGTGAGCTCCGGCCCCTACGTCATAGTCACCTTCTTTCACACATCTGAGACATAGTATCCAAAGTACTCTTCCCAGCCTTGAATATTCACCCAAAGGAAACAAATGACAAATCATCAATATAAAGCCGGTGCTAGACTTCGAAACTCTTCCTATGTCGCGGATACTCTACGTTGAAAACTAAACTACGCTCAAAGTGGACCTGCAGTGGGTCCAAGGTAATATATTGATGATGGATTCACTGGAGAACTTTGGCTGGGCTCACCCTCCCCTGCACAACTTGAAATCCTCGAGACACGCGCTTGAAGAAGTCCAATCGAGTGTTCAAAACCTTCTGAACGTATTTTGACTCGGCTTGTAGTTTCTCCACAAACATCTGCTTCTCTTGAGCCGATTGCTGGTTCTGGGATTGAGAGTCAAGGTGACTCTGAATTGACAGGCCTCTTGATACTACTAGGCTAATGTTCCCTTGTGAAGGCACTGCAACTGTAAATGCAAGGCCTGCAGTCGGCCCTGTGCCAGTTTCTGGGGGAAGTAAAACATCCCTGCAGAATCAAATTTTATGTCAAGATCAGAACGACATACGAAATCATGACTCAATGTTCAGGTGTTCATATGTTTCGAGTCCAAATCGACACCAGCTTGTAGGCAATAATGATCTGAATGGTCGTAAAAATCAATGCGTTAGTAAAACAAAATCCACGTGGTTGCATAAGACATTGAGCTTCAATAAGCATACCGATAAGTGCAGCAGGCCTCTTGTATTTTTCTCCCTTGAGATAAGGAGGGGTCGAAACCCGATCGATACTGCCCAGTCACTTTCTCCAAAATAGATGGTGGAGGTGAGTCAGTGTGCAAGTTGACCTGTCACATCCAAAGAAGGTCTCAGTATAATAACAAACGCGCACAAGAGAAGACATGGAAATTTTGTTCTGTGGCAGATGATTGGGAGAATCACAAGACAATGTCAGTGCTCCTCCAGTGACCAAGATATCAAACGAATAGGTCGTGAAAGGCTTGCATAGTTCAAAATAAGGTGAGGCAAGTCACAATACTGATAGCAAAAGTCACCAATATCTCAACACCTACGTAAACTGGCACAGTAAAAATGGGCGGCTTCAATCACAGCCCCAAAATGAACCTTTTATCGTCCATTTCAGTGAGGGCGTGTTGCCGAGGAGCTTAAAACGTAAAATACTAGTAAATAGTCACAAAACAAGCCCTTCATCACACCCGTACATGGAGGAAGTTGAGGCAAGCCGCTGATGATCCAAGCATAGAACACGTACCACGACAGTGCCATGCTTGGGATGCAGTAGCTTATTCAAATTTTTCAAAAAAGCTCCATCTCTCGTCCATAGTTTGGTAGGTACAACATCTTCACCATCAAAAGCATCTACAAAAACCAAATCGTAATATTGACGGCTTAAACGCTCCTCGTTAAATCTCTTTTGCACCAAATCTTCCACGAAATGTTCTCCATCAGCCTCGTACACTGTTACTCTGTTTAAGAGACCTCCCCATAGAACCTCCTGATTTATGGCATATTCATGTCCTGCATTTAAATGTCCTCCTGGAACATTTGAACGAATCTGATTCCGAGTTTCTAAACCATGGGATGACACATTTGCTTGCAAACGATGAATTTCACAAGGGGGAAAGCCCATAGTCTCTACAGCTGCCTCGATGACAGAACCATCAATTTCAACAACGTCCAATGTTGCACCTGAACAGACAGATAACATCTGCCTGCATTAGTACGAAGTCGATTTACGCCAAAATTAACGTGAAATAACTCCATCCAATCATCCAGAAAAAAGAAATGTAGTTCGTCGACCTATACAAGAAAAGGTAATTTCAAGTACCAAGCTTGAACCTAACTATGAGATATTTTCATAGAATTTGGCAGGAGTTTTGCTTCTGTAGCATGTCCTATTCGTCCGTAGTCAACCAAAGGGTGAGGAGGTAGTGAAGCAATACACTCAAAGCACCTAGATACTGCACTTATGATGATCGTTGTACATGCATACCAGGCAAGTTATGAGCTAAAAATAGTGGTAGACTCCCTCCTCCAAGTCCAACACACAGGATTCGCATATTTCTTGTTCTGTGAGTAACCTGGTCCAAGTTGTAGCCAGCTAGACTGATTGTTGAGAGTCCCACAGATAACATGCTTTTCACATCTGCAATCACATGCAACTGCATGCGTAAAAAGAAATACGCAGGCGTTGAAAGCCCTTTTCTCTTCAAGGCTAGGCACCGTAATTTTCCTTTTCTCAAACACAAAGTAAGGAACATCGTTTCAAAGCTCGATTCCTGCCCAATATTCCAAGTCTGCTAAATATGATCACTACAGAAACCCCAAAGATATTGGACACAAAGGACTCACATTCGAAAGCAATGCAGTTTGGTTGTTGGACCAGGAAGACTTCCGTAGGTGGTTGGTCATTGGTCACAGCCATGACTTTTGCGACGCTTTGGCGAGTAATAGAATTGAAACGTAGCACCCTCCATTCGTACCCAAGCACCTTGAACTGCCCATGACCCCGACTAGCCTGTCTCTCTTGCAGCTCCTTTTCTACAACTGCCCACTCTTCTGGTATCTATTACAATGTTCACAAGTCACAAATGTAATCCGTCACATCCTACTCCAACTACACTGAAATTGGCACGATGAGGTTATGATGCCGTTACCACCAAAGAAAACATTTCCTAGTGTCTCAAATCAAACTGCACACACTAAAATCGTCAAATAAACCCTCAGATTCTTTCAACTTAATTAATACGTGATCATCGAAATTTCGCAAGCTTTCACAATTCAAGTCGTATTCGGGACATGCACGGCAATCTGGAGCAAAAATATCCGAATCTGAAAAATCAAGTGCTAAAATTCTCGAGCACGTTTTCACCACATAATGGAAGATCCTCAGAAGCTGCAAATTAAAACGCACAACATACCGGAGTAGAGGCTGGGTGTGCAGTGACTGAAATGACACCGTTCCCCATAGTCGACAGGGACTCAAAAACTGTCTCTCCAGCATTCCGGCCCCAGCTTCCACCCTGAGTGCCCCACCATTCTGGAGAAAATTGCCAGTCACCCTCCTCCTTCTGCCTACGCAGCCACGCTGCAGTTCTCACGCCTCTCCTCAACTCCACCACATTCCTCCGGTAAACTGATACCAGCATCTCGGCTGTACCTGAGGTGGTTGCACCTCTACAAAGTCATGAGACTGAGAAAACTGAGAGAAAATCCATCCCCGATCATACAACCTAACTGTCAGTATTCCCAGACATTCAAGCCAGCAAATACACAAGCACCAGAGAGCTACCATCGTTGTCCTGTAAGTCCACTGCACCTTCAAAAATCGACAAACCCTGAAACATGAATGATCCATCTCACCCATTTTCCGAATATGTGACCTTCGAGGTGTAGTGGATCGGTCACCTGGGATTGAATACACCTCCAGTGACCCACGGCCCCAACACATGGCCATTCCAGTAATACCACAAACAAGAGTCCATCTCCCGACCTAAGGATAAAGTGGGACCAAAGATGACGCGTGCGCGTCTTCCTCTATCTTTGTAAGTGGGAAGGAAACTCTGATAATAAGAGACTACCAGAGAGCAAAGTCAATTGTCATAAAAATGTTCTCACCGGCACTCACAGCATAAACATACCGGTAGGGAGAAAGACTTAAATAAAAAAAACCATGAATCGGGTAGCATTCATGATCAAAACTTGAACACTCCACGTTAAATGCCTCACTCTGCGTTCACATTTCGCATTAAAAATTACACCATACCTGGAAAAAAAGAATAGGGCGTGCCTCTTAAGCTCGGACGAAGCACATGACGGCTCTCGACATCTCGACCGCATGAAATTGATTGGCTCTCTCTCACTCTTCGCATAGCCAATTGGTACATTGCCGTTTCCTTGGAGACCCGCGCATGATTCTCTGCTCTAGCAGAGAGTCCTCGAATGCCAACAGCCACATCTAATCTTTCACTGCTCTGTAGCAGCCGGAAACCATGACCCACATTGGGCCATACGTACTTAGAAATTCCCGGCATCCGCCACACTGACAAGCATGACTGCAACACGAGCGTCTGCGTTGTCTCCATCGCCATGGCTAACAATCTACAGCACAAATTTCAAACTAGCGCAGAGAATCCTACACTAGCTTTAACATCCAAAACTCACCCCACATCAGCACACCACTCCGGAAATAGACTAAATTTTCAGACTAGCGTGCAAGACAAATTCTTCAACCTTTTGACGCCACGCATCTTTGTCTTGTCTGCATGACTGGGTGGAAACACTAGTTGCAGACTCGGAAAGGGCAAAGAGTGCTACCCTTAAGCACTGTTGAGGAAGGACGAACGATGTAAAGGCGTGGAAATATTGGATGAGATTAGAAAAAGCTAGGCTTCCGGATGTGGAGCACTTCCTCGCCAATGAGACGCCCAGTATTGCGATGTACATCCTTGTTGATTTGACAAGTGTCTCTGAAGCTTCCGGACCTGTCTCTGAAGCTTCACTTTCTGCATGGGTTTCTGGAGGTGTTGATAAGAATGCGAGCGAATTGACTTTGATCCAACAGGACAGAATTCACCCCCTGAACCAGCACTTCAGAGATTCATGTCACCAAATGTTGTCGTACTTCATTGAGCGGGATAATGCAACGCATGTTCTTTCGCTACGGTACTCCTCATTCAAGACAATTTGCGATCATCATTCAAAGAAGGATTGGGGATGAGAGTTTACGTGAATGATGTGTAAAATATTTTCGAAAAAGAGTTCGAGATTTCACTTGACAGCGTGGAACGAGCCGAACGAAAGTTAGATGACAAGAATATGCCTAAGTTACGGTTACGGAAATTTTTAGCTTTGCGTTGACAGTTGAAATGGCCAAGCAAATTTTGATGCCTTCGTCCACTTTCAGCTAGATAGCCTCATCAACCCCTACTATCAGGTGGCTGGAATCCCCAGATTGACAAAAAAACGTAGTTTACGGCTAGAGTTGATGGTTAGTACTTTTCAACCTGAAACTGTCATAGTATACCTTTGCTGAAACGGAGAAAGCTGGGTAACACATGTGCGACTCAAAAGAACTTTGTAAGCAATGGACCTAGAAAGAAACGATATCATAGCCTTAAGTTCCTATGATTTATTAATACTGGTTCACAACGACATTGGATTGGTTTCTTGGATAGCTATAGAATCCTAGTGGAGCTATTTTGTGTCCACATATGGAGCCCTCTTGAAGTTTCTTCGGCATTGTACTAATTAGATCCTATTAAATGAGACCCTGATATCAGTTGAAACTATCCTAAAACCCTGTCATCCCTAATTGGAAAAAAAAAAAAAAAAAAAAAAAAAAAAAATGTACACAAGGGAAGAAATACAGGCTCGCAGAGGGTTAAATCCACTGCGTAAGCATCACTTAGCCTTCAATCCTTGAGGGCCTGCAATAAATTCATTGATCAAATAAGATACTATCCTCGATCAAGCTGCACTCTAGAGTAGAAAGCTTAAAAAGATCGAACACATAAGGATCAAAAAACATGCGTGTCCAAAACTGGATGAGTGATCAAGGATACGTGGGGATCACACCAAGTACACAACGGAATTGAACTGTGATGAATGAGCTCTCATTGAAGATAAATTGGGAAATATTGAATACCTTGAGATGAAAAGAATATACGAGCCTGTTCCTGCAATCACAACACTATCGTCAATTGACAGTCACCAGACACAACTCACTGTTATCTGGAGGATGAAGGATACGAGTTCTATTGATGTTACTCGATCTGTGATGGCAACTACTGACGACACCCACGGTATCGCAATGCTACGTCCTCCATCTAAGAACAACTCCTGTATTGATTTACGGCAAACAGTTTCATACGAGAATGCTTCAACTCTGAGCAATCGCCACGATATCTCTTTGTACGAATCAGTGTATGATAAATTTGATAGGACTATACTGAATTTTCACAAGCATCCCTTCAAGTACAATGGGTGAGAATTACATAGCCTAAATAAAAGTATTTACCATGTCATCATCAATCTCATCAATGTCAAGCTCCATCACGTTCGGCTTGACTGGTTCTTTGGATTTCTCTACTGTACTTTTATTTACAGGCTTCTCCACAAGTGGAACTCTGAAAGCACACACTACAATTAGCTTGGTGTAGAGTCTTTCCTCGAGCTGCTGCTCTTAAAGCCTTCTCCAGAAAATACCAGATTACCCCAAAAACATTGTAAAATCAATTTTTAATATCCTCCTCATAAATATCTTGCAACAATAGTCCATAACCAGCTCCTACCATATTGTGGGGCATTGCTCTGACATGTGATGAAGAATTCGACAATAATTCAAAGCAAAGGGAACTGCAGTGGCTAGGGCAGTGTCAAACACCTGGCTTTTTTCTTAGTCACAGCAAGTTCTGTCGTTGCCTTTTTCTTTAAGCTTTCCAGTTTCTGTTCCAGAACTGTAAAAACTCACCAAACTTTAGAAAACGGTGATATATCAGGAGTGATTGACTTGTGACCGTACCTCAAATATAAGACAAAGCATCTGCGAACCATGAAACCTTCATACCAAAACAATTCAGTTCATCAAATGAAGGGAAATTCGTGAGAGCAGGTTCTGTACCGAAATGCTGCTGGGACCTTGTTTCCAGGAATCTCATGCCTTGAGAGTAAACGTTAGATGTAACTTTCTCCGCAGTGCTGCTCCATCAGTAGATATAGCATGCAAGCATGGCAATTAAGATTAGCACTTCGTTACAAAAACACATTGTTGAATATAAGTTCTCAGCTTTGTATGCATGTCAGATTGGGTTACACAGAAGATACCAGAGACTGATCCAACATTGTATCAAAAGAGTAGCGCATAATCTCTCACCTCAAGACTTTCCTTAAATCGGTTGAGTTCAACTGCTTAATAGGTCGGGTGTACTCGACTTCCTTCACGGGACTTCTCGGAAGTGCTTTCACGGTTTGTGCCCTTTTAGTTCCTGGACCAGAAAATGCAGTAGCTAGATTCCTGTAGCACATATCAAATTCACACATCATGAGGATGTGAAGACCAGTACAAACCCACCACAGATACATTACCTCGGGATTACAGAGCCTCACCTCGCAAAATCATTAAGAAAAGCGTAACATGACATTGTTAGGCCTGCTATCTTTGAACCCAAGATGACATGTAACGAGCAAGAGGGAGGGAAAGTACTCACCCACCACTGATCTCGGCTCTTTTGGTTTTGATTTTCTGATATGCAGCCTGCAGCAAACAAATAATACAATTACATGGCTAAAAACACTCAAATCTCATAATCATCGCTGTCAATCAAATTGCAGGTAATGCAGAATATCAGAGCTCGCAAACTCTAGCAGTCACTCCCCTAATCCGTAAGGACCTGTTCAACAAGAACAGGATGTATACACATGCGAAACTCACAGCAAACAAAATGCAGACCTAGATAATAACACTTAAGTTACGTACCCCAAGATGATGGTGACAAAAATCCCCTTGTGACCTTCTGCAGTTCAACATTCACCAAATTGCTTACGTAATGCGGATTGAATATATAGCACATCAATGAAATGCGTAACATCACACGTACAGTAGAGAAGCAGAGGGCCTTGAATTCAAGACGTGTTCACGGGAGGTTAACAGCAAATGACGTTTCGAATTGAATAATCCTTATCGGAGAGTTCATCGAAACTCACTTGTTAACCACCATGGTGCAGGGGCCACCACCAACTTTCTTGCCCTTGCAGACACCATAGTCTACTGAAGATCCTATCTTGAGCATTTGATTTCCATTGAAAATGCTAAGGCTTGGTTGTTTGCTCTGTTGGGGTCAATGATCTGTTAGTTTTCATAGGTTTTGCAAAAGTATTCACAAATATTCAGAAGTACGTTCTGTGCATTATCAACTGCGACTTAATATTACGTGAGTCAAACTCACTTTCACTTAAAGCAAAACAAAAATAAATCCCTGGCATCAGAAAAGGGGATTCCCATTCGATGTAGACTCACCTTCTCGTCAAGACGAACTTTAGCACTGAAGACAGCAAAAACTGCCCCTAGTGATTCTTTCCAATTTTGAGTATAAGCATCTCCGAACACAAAGACGCTGATCACTCCACCGTCCAATGACGCTAGTTTCCAAACAGCGAAGTTTTTACCTGCTGCACTCAATTTTGGCTGTCCTTTCTCGATCAACACTCCCACAGTAGCCCACTCTCCCTTGAAATTGGTAGCCATGCCAACCAACCTGTGTCAATCAGAACCAGGACAATTTCAGATGACAGTCATTTTACTGCGCTTTTGTATTAAAAGAAATTAGAATAGGAAGGCCGCCAAGAGCTAGAACCGGGTGGCTGTGAATACATTCAGGACGAAACAGGGCAAAATGTTCGTGTGTGCTAACACATTCCATACTTTATAGCTTGCAGGCGCACAAACTTGAGGTCGCAAAACCTACTGTTCAGTGTGGTAGAAGATACCAGCCTATCTCTGTACACAGTACATTCATTAGTTCAAAAAAGAAAACGAAAACATAAGTTGGCAGCGTTGACTACACATGATACCAGAAGGAAAAAGCCTGGAATTGCAGCGAGGTCCAAATTTCATGAAGTTCTTCCTCGATTGCCTGTGTAATATATGGTCTGTTCAGGCTCTAAGGGCACATCAGATATACTTGCGAGTCCTCCACACCTTATGTGCGACTTGAGCATTATCGTCATGGAGTAATCAATTAGCTTCAATACTGACATTGTTAAAAATATCTAATCAGACATAGGAATACTCGACGAAATGAGACAAACATAACGCTGAGAGAGCGTAAACACGGCAATCGCACCTGATCCTCAGACCCGAATGCTGATCAATATCTACTTGATTACAAGGAAGGATTTTCCCCGCTATGTTTGAGCGGTTGAAGTTCACCACGGTAGGGTCACCAGGCTTTTCCAAGGAATTCTTGACAACGTCCCGAAATGCTGCCATAGAGACATTTCGCTTGAGCCCTTCGTCATCCGAATAATACCCTGTGTCTGCTGCAGATGAAGAGATTGTCAACGACAGGTAAAAGCTCCACTTCCTTAATAATCAGTTCAACTATTCTAACGGTACGTCCCCACGCCACTGATTCCGATTTCCACGGACATTGGCTTCTTGTGAAGCCGCTTTGTACAGTGGAATTATTCTTAGAAAGTGGGCAAGCATGGCATTGAGAACCATAGCGGTGGGTAAAGTGCTCACTCAGGTCAGTTTCTGGTGCCAATGACGTTGTAGCAAAATTGGGCGCATCGCCTTCTACTGGAATTTTCGTAATTGGTGCAGTTGCACCTGGGTGATTTGTATCCAACTCCCGCAAACTGTTGTCGGCGGCTTCCACGGTGACCGCCGCAACCGTGGTGGTTTCTGGAGAATATTGATGCCAAATGTTAGGTTTCGTCTTATCTGCTACCATCAAGTGTGCAGCTACAGCCGGTCCATGGCCCGCTTTGGCATTCATACAGTCCACTTTTACCAAATGATTGAAAGTGAACCAAATGCGTGAGGGTGACGGAATATTCACCCAGCAAACCTCCGTTCCAAACTAGACATTGAACTTCAAGATTGAATCATATCCGAAGACTGGCTTCCCTCTTACAGAGAAGAAAGATAAAACCCCTCTGGAACTAGTGTCTCAGTTGATTTGTGAAGATTGAGCCGGGGAGAAGGACGGACCATAGCGAAACACAGTGAAGAAATAAACCATCAACTTTTGAGGGATGAATGCGATCATTGAAGAGTACTCAAAATTTACACAATACCAGCATTTATGATGTAAAAGCCAACATGCGAAGAGCCAACAGCACTTACCACTGCGCACATCGACTTCCGATGCAGATGGGACACTCTCCGTAATCGGATCATCGTCAGTCTGTAATGAAAGTAGCAAATCCAGAGCGTCGTCCTCATTCTCCATTTTCGCCTCAATTGACGACCACTTTCAGCTGCGAGGTCATTACGATAACATTCCCACTGATTGTCATAACATTTTCGATCACATTGATGAAGAGCTGTTCAAGTGTATAGGGCACATTTCCACGTACAACGTCACTGCGAAAACCCTAAAGTATACAAAAATCGAAACAACAAATAGAAACTCGAATGCCAAAATCCAAACCAACTCTCAACACCGTCTAAACCCACCGCCACTACAAACACCAATAAAATACTGGGCTAAGCAGAAACACGGCGGAAATGAAAAAGATAATTGTCCAAGGCGTGTCGGGAGCAGAATACCAGAGATCCAGTGCAGAATACGGCAACTCCAGTGTTAGAATTGTTCCGCTCACAAGAGCAAGGCAAAACGCCAATCGAACATCAATCTAAACCAAGCGAAATTCTACAACTAACACTTGCGACGGACTGTCCCGGCGAGAGGCTGGAACACGCCGAATCGAGCAACATGAGAGGCAATGGCGAGGCGGAGACCTCGAAATGGCGCGGGAATGTGGCTCCGTTTTGGAGGGAAACGAGCCGAAGTGCACTCCCTTCAAAAACCTCGAAACTGGGGGAACGACGACGAAACACAACCAACCAACCAACCAACCAACCAACGAAAAAAACAAACGACGATTTTGTCCTTCCAATGACGTTCCTCGTCGACCCATGAAGGTAACGAACGAAGACGTTTGTTGGTTCGTTGAAGGGGAGGTGACGAGAGGATATGAAGACGAAGAAGAGCAATGTATGTATTATTGGTGTTGAGGAAACGTGTCTTGTCCCCTTTCAATCCTCCTCCCTTTGTCTTTTCATTGCCATTGAATTGATGTAAAATACTGAGCTAATTGCACATTTCATGCCTTTGTTGCATGTAAAGAGCTCACCTCTCTGCAGGGCAACAATGCATGGAATGGGTTCGCGGAATTTTGGTCTTTTTTTTTTATTATAATGGACTTTGTGTAAAGTAAAACACATGCACATATGGATATTGGCTGAAAATGCAACTTGCTTGTAGGGGGATGATGCTGGATGTGTTTATTTCATTCATCCTCATCCAGTTCTATTCATATTGTCTCTGAACAATTTTACTCTTGTGCCCAATTTAATGTTGTTAATACTCCTCACATTCATTAACTTATTGTTGCCTCAATTGTTTCTCTTCAGTATTTATGTATTTATTTATTTATTCTGTTCCTCTCAATCACATCTTCTGACACCCTCTATTGAAGAAACATATTGTTTCATGTGGATGAGAAAAAACTTAACTTTCATGCTTATTTCCATTTGACATAAAATACAAAAATATGAAACAACTCCTTCTGCATGTGTCTCCGAATAATAATTAAATGTTGAATTTATCGTTATTCTTATTATTGACTTTATTGATCAATCAAACAACAATTCACAAGAGTATCCATGTGCTTGTTTAATGAAAATTTTATATGTCCGACTTTTGAATTAGAAAAGATGTTGTTTTAATGAATATTCGAATCTTGTATTGCATAAGTTGACATAGGCTTATTACCAATGTATTCCTGCATTACTTTTTACATATCTTTTTGCCATAAAACCTGGAAGTTGCTTTGGAATTTGGAACAAAGTGGCATTAAAATTATCAACAGAGTGTCAAAAATTTATTGGTAACACTGAAAATTCTTATATGAGCATATATTTTATTTAAATAATTCATAAAGGTCTTAAGAGTCCAAAATAAATAAATAAACAAACACATACAGTAATGTGGATAAATATAAATTTGAAAAAAAAAAAATATATATATATATATATATATATCTGAAGTTTTTATATACAAATGAACACATCTACTTTAAAATATGTACATTGTACATAGCATAGTATTCTAAGATTCCTCTTAATAATTTAACACAAATGTTTCAAATTTTAATTCAAAGATAGTGCAATAACAAAAGTATGCTTGCATTTTCATATAACAAGCTGAATTATGGCCATATTGAAACAAGGTATTACTTCTTTTTATCCACTTAATGGTTAGAATTTGTTTTTTGCCAGAGCTATTAATTTTTATAATTCTTCTAAATCTATTAACTCAAAAGACCAATCAACAACTAAATTGGCAACCAATGGATAATTTAAAATACTAACCATAAAATAAATGAACAAAATATTAACACCATGCTAAAATTAATATAATATTATACTCAAAGGAGTTACAAACATATATAATTGTATGAATTTTAAATACTAAGCAACATACATCTTAACATTATGTTGTGCTCAAACATCAAATTTGAGTATTATAAGCTTTGAGTATATATATGTATAGTTATGATTTTTTTTATTCTTATGTATTTAAATGATTTTATATTAAAATATTAATTTTATTTTTTTAAAAGTATACAAATAATTAGAAAGAAATTTTAAAATAGTAATTAAATAATATTTTAATTTAAGAACACAAAAAAAACTTTCAACATATTAATTATAAATATAGATGTAACAAATAGGCATATTTACTAGCATATTAGATTACATAAATAGAATTAAATAGAAGTAAATAGAAATAAGTAGAAGTATGTTAAAGTATTAATATCTTGTTGAGAAGCTTTGTAGAAGCTATGTAAACTTTACACATGTTAACAAGTGATTGGTAGATTGACAATTTAGTCACTTGTTGCATATTTAGTGACTTGTATTACAAGTTGGCTATATGGCACATATGTCAAATATTTGTCCTACAAATTAGACATATGTCCTTCAAGTTGTATATGTGTCAAATAACTTATATCCACACAATTCTTTAGTAGATAGTATATATGAAGGCAAGAGTAAGGCCGTCATTATCCTTGTCAACTCGTTTTTATGTTTTATTTTGGTTAAAGACTTCTTGGTTTTTTAGAATTTGAAAATAGTTATTATAGTTTTAATTCTATATCTATATTTTAATTATATATTTTTTTAATCTTTTAGACACATAAGAATCTATTATCATTTTTAGGATTTATTTATAATTTATGTTTGACAATTTGACAAGTACCTTAATTTATTATACTTATTCTATTTGAAAAGTTAATATTTTATTTTATAGATTTCCAATTATCTACCTTTAAATTGATATTTTTTATTTTTTAATATTGGTTCTATCTTTAAAAAGACTAGACTTCCTATCTTAGTAGAAATTTTTATTTGATATTAGAAGTTGCAAAGTGACTTTTTTTTAATTTGACTTGAATTTTTTTAAAAATTTATCAATTTTTTATATATAAGAAAAATAATATATAGATGCTACACTTGGTGGAAGTGAAAATAGATTTATAAATTTTACAAATCTTTATAGGCTTATCAATACTCTTAGAGCAAATATTTTATACATTACTATTATCAACAATAAAAGTATTTTTCCTAAACATATGAAAGAAGTCAACAATGAGATCTAATATCTATGTAAAAAAGTTATTTACTTGAGAAAAGCAATTAGATCAACTTCAAAAGTGAATCTAAAATATCTTCCTACTATACATATGGAGGATAAAAAAATTAATATGTTATAGAAGTTTGATAGAAATAGATGATAATTTTGAAGATTTCAAAAATAAGTCAAGTTTTATTTAAGGTTATATCTTTTTCAATATCTTGAAAAATTTATTTAAGTTGGATTTATAGGTGCACTAATATCTAGGAGTATTTTTTTTAGTTTGCACCTTTAATGGAAAAATATTCATGATTCTTATCTAATTAAAATTCATTCTCAGAATTGTTTATAACAATATTTGAAAAAAAAAACAATAAAATATTGAAAAAAAAACTCTAATCTTTACAATAAGAATCACAATGAATTATCACTTATATGGGTCAAATTCCAAAACCTAGTATGCAATATGGATTGAAATGATAAAGCTCTTATCAATTAATTTTGTCATAATTTAAAAAATAATGTCAATTTTTTATTATTAATAGTATAGAAAACATAAAAAAAAAACAAAATAAATGTTACTATAAAAACTTATATTTGTATTGTATAAATACATGTCATAAGATATAAGACTATTATATCAAATTAATAGGATTAAAAGCAAAAAAAAAAAAAAATTGAACATAAAAAAAATTAAAAAACAAAGATATCCAATTATAGTAAGAATCTTACAATTCAATAGCTCTAGACCATTAAATATTGGTCTGATTTTGCTACTTAACTATACATCATGTTTTTATTTTTTTTATAAATATTATAACTTCAAATTATAAAATTTTAATTCAAGCTCTTTTAAACATTAGAATCTTAATATGTTTTATATATAAAGACTTCATATTACAATAAAAATTGATACTTTTAGAAAATTAGACCAATTTTTAGTGAAATTATAAAAAGTTTCTTTAAAATCTAGTTTTAATAAAAGCAAATCATCTCAACCTTATATCAAGGACATGAACCTTAAAAAGCTAAAAAGTCAATATACTCTTGTATTACTCAAAAAGGCTAAATAATCACTCAAAGATGATATAGTATTAAATTAGAATGGCTATTGCCGAAGACAAAAAGATTAGAAAGCCTTCAAATAAGACTAAGGATTAGAAACGCATTGATAAAAGTGAAAAAGGATTGACTCTTGCTTCTATATATATTATCTAACTAGAAGCTATGTGGCAATGTTTTATGGGACCTTCAATACATATTGACTTTATAAGACACATATCCTAACTTCCAAAGTAAGTTTTTTATATGTGCACTATATAGTTAACTTGTTTTACAAGCTATAAACATGTAGTTAACTTATTGACCAAGTTTCTAACCTATTAATCAACTACTAATATATGTAAAGTCAAAACTCTATCTATGAAGCTTTTAGGAAGTTTTTCTAGAAGATATTATAAAATTAATCTATTTTTACTTATTTATACTTAATTATATAGATAATTATTGGAATATATACATATTTCTATGACACCTTAATTTGTGGGATCCTAAACATTTATGCAAGTTATAGCAGAAAAAATACATTTATTATTTTTATACCATAAAATTTGTATGTAAATGAGAATTACAATATAGTTTTAGAATAATACAAAAAATATCAAGATGTATTTAAAGAGGAGATTGTTCATATATTCTTAAAATATTAATCTTATAATAATATAATACATCTTCAAGAACGAATGCAATAGCCATTTAGATCTATTTACAACTTATTGTAAAATACACTTATTACCTTGAAAGAATACATTAAAAGAAATCTTGCAAAGAATTTTATTTAACATTCAAAATTTCTTGAATATAAGCCAATTTTATTTGTAAAGAAAAAATATGAACCCTTACAAATGTATATAGATTTTTGTAGACTCAATAAATTAACCATTAATTTTTAATTTTTTTTAATATTAAGAATCTTTAATCAATTAAGTGAAGTTAATATCTATATTAAAATAGATCTACAATAAGCTAGGAAATAAAGAGAGGACTACATTTGGATTAGGTTTAGCCATTTTAAATACAATGTCATGCCATTTGGACTTATAAATGCTTTAGTTTCTTTCTAATATTTAATAAACAATATATTTTATAAACATCTAAATAATTTTATTATCTGTTATTTAGACAAAATTCTTATCTATTTTAAGAATATAAAAGAACATAAATAACATATTTAATTTCTACTACAAAAACTTATAAATGCAAGATTATATACTAAAATAAAAAAAAATGTGTCTTTTATACAATCTAAGTAGAATTTTTGAAATATAGTATTTTAAATGGCGGTTTGTAAATGGATTTTAAGAAGCTATAGACTACTAAAAATTATAAAATTCTAAGAATTATACATAATGACAAATATTTTTACAATATACAAACTATTAACATATATTTATTAAAAAAATAAATTAAATATTTTGTAATATCTTCAACTTTTTATTTTTAAATTGATAGACAAATAAAACAAGTAAATCAAGTGTTGTAATAATATTTGCAATGGACTATTAACTACCATCAAGGCAATTGGAAAACTCTCTTAATATTAGCAAAGTTTTTGTATAATAATATAATACATTCTTCTACTAAAAGAATCCCATTTTTTTGACAATTATGGTTATTATCTACAATGTGATATTTTTGACTTTTCAAAAGTTTAAAATCCAACAATAGAAGATTTGGCAAGTAGAATAAGAGAGCTTTAGACAATAATAAAGATATAGTTAAAAAAGCTCAAAAGCGATAAAAAAAAAAAAAAAAAAAGTATTTAAAAAAAAACCTTTATTTGAAGTTGATTATAAAAAATGGTTGCTTTACAATAATATTAAGACTAATTAATATTATAATAAGTTGGATTATAAAATATTTTATCTATTAATTATCAAAGATAAATTAATTTTATGATGTACTAATTACAATTACTACTATCAATAAAGATTTGTCATGAATTCCATGTCTTTTTGATCAAGCCTTATACAAAAATCAACATATCAAAAAGAAAATAATTACCACCACTTCATATTAAAGTTTGAAATAGAAGAAGTTTTTGATTTAAGATGGCACCAAAAGAAATTAGAATATCTCACACGTTGACATAGATATGATATTAGTGAATCCACATATGATGCATTTTAGAATCTAATAAATGAGTCAAAACTTGTCTCTGCTTTTTATTGACAACATTTATCTAAACCAAGGAATAATCATTGACAACAAGATAATATCAATTAAAGAGAAATAATTTCAAGAATCAACTTCTATAAACCATTTGCAAAGATAGAGAATCAATAGGTAAAAAAATCATTTCAAGAGTTGTCATTTGCAAAATTACTTGATAAAATACCTGTATTGTCTCAACTTCAACAATGTTGTAATTGTAATAAAGATCCTTAAAAGAGACATGTTCTTCTACAATTAGATGCAGAGGTATAATGTATTTGATACTATAATCTTGAAAAAAAAAATCTTGATATTTAGTGATATTGTTGGAGGTGAGTACTATACTTTATAAAATACAAATTGTATTATTCAAGAGTAGCTATAAAGGCCTTAATAATGATTAAGTAATTTGATAATCTTTCCATTCTTATATGAGACATTATTAATGATTTAAGAGACATATCAATCACCTTTGTGCACAACAAAGATTAGAATTTGTTTTTAATGCTATTTGACAAATCTTGGACTTCATCAAATGATATAAAGCGATGATATAGCTTCTTGTTGAACTTATTGCCTAAAAGACATAAGTAATGTAAGAACTAGCCATATTCACTAGTTAATATTTTTACTAGTTGAATTTAAACTAGGAAAATATAAACTAATTTAATTTTTGCTAGTACATATATATATATATATATATATATATATATATTTCGTAACATGAATAATTGACTTTTATATCTTTAAATACATAGAAACTTTATCATGGCAGTCTTATAAACTAATTTTAGTTTTTAGTTATATGTAAAAATTAGTATTATTATTTTTAATAACAAGGATATTTAATTTAAAAATTTATTGTAGCATTACATTTGTGCTTAAATTTAGGTTGATTTAAAGGAGTTATTTATATTATACTATATATATTATTTATACATATAAATAATAAAATTTTAGTCATAATAATAAATTTATATATAATAATATATAATAATAAATTTTAGTCATAACTAAAAATTAAAATTAACATAATTTTAAACATAATTATATTATTATTAAAATAATTTTATTATTATTTAACTAATTTTGACCTCTATTTTAAAAAGCTAGGTCTATTTAACACACAAATATATATACATTGACATTATGTGATCCAATTCCATTCTAAATAAATGATGTAAAAACCAAACTCAACAGAGGCTCAGCAGAAGCCTGGTTGAAGGCATGTAACCCTGATAACAGGGTGGGGAGCAACGGTGTCCCATATCCCCAAGGAAATAAGCAAAAGGGAAGGGGAGGTAGTGATAATAGAGAGGGGTGAGAAGGAAGCAGGAAGGAAGGAAGGAAGGAAGGCTCCGTATGTCTCTCTCTCGCAGTGAAAGCCAGCCTCTTCCTCATTGCTTGGCTATGGCCTATCATTCGCCTTCTTCTCCTGCTCATCCGCCATAGCCACCACCACCACCGCTTGGTCCTGTTCCTGTACCTGTGTCTGTTTTTGCGTCGCACCCTACGTCGTACTACTGCAGTTTTATACCACGTCGTACCCGAGTCTTGATCAGGTAGGGGTTCCGCGTATCGTTGTCGTCGTTTACCCCTCCTGTGTTTCTTAGTGTGGCGTTCGCGTAGGAGAAGCCAAGGGCTAGGTTGAGGGGGTTATGGAAGTCGGACAGGAGTTTGGAACAGGAGCGGCGTTCTAGTGGTTTCCTTGTACTTTTTCTCCCCTCCCAGCATTTGTGTCTGTTAATTATTCGGGCCGGGTTGGGGTGTGGCTCGCTGTATGGATGTGCTGTAATTTTCTGCGGTGGCTTTGTAGTTGGTTTTGATAGCTTTGGGTTCGAAGATGAGGTTCTTGGCAGTTTAGGTTATTAGGGTTGTAGGGATTTGCGAGAGTAGTGATTACTCTGAGACTGCTCTGCAAGACTAAAGAAGAGCCAGTGTATTGTTGTCAGGGAGCAGAGCAGCCAGGAGGTTTTTTTTTTGGCAATGCAGAGGTTTCAAGGCAGTGCCGCGCGAAGGAAGAAGAGCATGCAGCGGGACTGTGTGCTATTTGCATACTGACTTCGTCTGGAGGCGCACAGGCGCTTGGTCCCACACCTTGTTGTTTTTATTGTAGAAGTCGTCTGGAGGGATTCGTGGAGTGGAAGCGGAGAGCGGAGCGTACTTGGAGTAAGAGGAAGTTCCAGCGGTGGTTGGAATATAGGTTAGTGCACTGGCTTTTCACTCTTCTCGCTGGTGCCAGACTCTGCCTCGTGGGTTGTGGTCTCCTTTTCTCTATTCGGATGGAAGAGCTTCTTTGTCGATGAAAGCCTTTCAAAGTCTTTTTCACTTCCGAACTTTAAAGCTTCTTTTTGGTACTCCTGTTAATATTCCTGGAAAAAGTTTTGTTTTTCTTTGTTCTTTTCAATCGTTATTTAAAAATTTTAAAATAATATTAAAAAAAATGCACGGAGTGAACGAGGTGGTTCATTTTAGCTCCATACAATTCCGACTTTTACCGCACACATACCCGTCCTTGAAATGAAACTAGAAGTGGCTAGGACAACGTTTAGAGAAATCAGCAGCAAAATGTTTTGCATTTTGTGGTCCAATGCCGGTGGTGCTCTGCATTATATTTCGTCGATGTTGATTGACCATGACGATTGTACTTGTCTCTTGCAATCTACGCATAGTCCAGATGAACACTCGGCCTTTACCACGTTAGTCTTTCGATCAAATCTCTCGATTTAAACGCTACGAGTAATTACCGTAGTCTTACAGTGATGAACTTTGCTTGTCTCCCGCGTGACACTTACTTGCTCCGTCGTTTCAAATCCTAGGCCGAGGTTTGGCAGATCGTACTTCCGACTAGTTGGTCGTATACTTCCGGATGATTCTATTGTTAATGGCTGTAACGACTATGATGGGAGGGTTGCAACTTAGATTATGTCCTTGTGCGGATTGTTGATCATATCGCTGAAAGGAGCGTATGTCGTCGCAGCCTCTTTTTTTACCGAAGACGTGTCGTTCGTTGGTATTAATTTGTCTGCTTGGAAATCCTATGGAATTCGAGCGTCGGCAGTTGCCAGAAATTTTATGGATATCTTTCTCTATGTACTTGAGGAAGCTTTTTCCGCTCATTGAAGATTACGGTTTGGATGAATAGCCAGCTGCGTGTCATTTCTTCGGATTACCATGCACATCTGTTTTATGTACATTGTCCTACTTACTAAATCGACAAGATCGTTGTGAACTCGGACATCCTTGTGGCAGTTTGTAATCACTAGCAGTGATTTCTATTTAAAGAGAATCGTTTAATCCATTGGCATGCACTGAGGATCACTGTCAGATACTTGTCTCTCCAAAATTTCTGATCACGTTTTTGAGTAGCTTACTCGTTGCCAGACTTTTGTTTTGGTCAAGTGTACGGTCAATACACCGCGTTTATAAAACATTGGATGTGTGCGTTCTTTGGCATCTGCGTTATCCATGTGGTTAAGGAAGAAGGCTAGGAGTGAATCTGGACTCGATATCATTCGTCATCGATTTTTGCGTTTGATAGATTGATTGGAAGAGGAATGACAGAAGTTACTGATGGAAATCCAGTAACAATGACAGCAACGAAAGATATCCCATCATCAGATAGACCGGAGGGCTTCGTGTCGTCGGGACAGTCTTCTTCCCTAAACACTTCTGTGGATGTTATATCGAAGATTTCAGTAGAAATAGTAGAGGCAAAGATACAGGGTGAAGATGCTTTATCTGGAAAGGCCTACTTGGAATCAACTGGAAAAGCTGCAGCGGGTCATGATGAGATAGTTCTTTCTTCAGAGAAACTAGAAATGTCTGTTGGAGCAGATGATTTGAGAGCATCTTTTGGTGATGCGCATCAGGATTTGCAGGTTAATAGGGACAGTTCTGTCGAAAAATCAGTTTTGGATTCTTCGAAAGAGAATGTCACCAAGGAATTATCTGCTATAGGAACATCTGCGGCCAGCAGCATTACTCCGGGAACACATGCTGTAAATATGTCTACTGTGGAGTCTCATGCTGCAGAAAAATGTAACGTGGAAACACACTCAATGGAAACTCCTAACCTGGAAACACATGGCGGTGAAACACCTACAGTAGAACAGCCTGCTAAGGAAGTAGCTCTGAAGACGGATCCGAAAGAGGAGGTGGCTCCCTTATTTGGTAGTATACCTGCTCAAGACGTGGTCCAGGGTGCGATTCCTGATGCAAACAAAATGGATACAGATTCGGAGGGTGCCATGCTGAAATATATGCCCAAAAATGAAGTTGGAGGGGAACAAGAGTCATCACCTAGTTCATTGATGAACGAAAGGCTGAACGTTGCATCACCATCTACCTTGGTAAAAGAATCACCATTGATCGGGACCCATTTCACCAGTTCACAACCTCTCGATGGGAGTGAGGGTCTTCAAAATGGGGAGACAAGGATGGACGAAGTAGTGTCTGTTACGAACCATATCATCACTTCATCCACTATTGCTGCAACCATATTGGAAAACGAAGTTAACAGTAAAAATGGTGATACTACTGGGAAGACTGTGGACGAGACTGCCGAGAAGCTTGCAGACAAAATGGCCAACAGAATGGTAAATCAGTTGGCCGATGGTGTGGCGGACAGAATGGCTGATGCCATTGCCGACGAGATTGCTGATGAGATCGCTGACAGAATGGCTGATGAAATTGCCAATAAGATGGCGGACGAGATGGCTGATGGCATGGCAGATGAAATTGCGAATAAGATGGCGGACAGGATGGCAGACGAAATGGCCGATAGGTTGGCAGACGAGATGGCTGATAGAATGGCGGATGAAATGGCGGATAGGATGGCGGACGAAATGGCCGATAGGATGGCAGATGAAATGGCAGCTGAAATGGCTGATGAGTTGGCTGATGAAATGGCAGATGAAGTAATTGAAGGAGTTTATAGTAGGGGTGAAAGAGCCCAAGAAAACGAGAGGATGGATGATGGAGAAACTCACGAAGTTGGTGACATGGAAGAAGAACAAATGGGCGATGACGGAAACAAGGAGATGGACGATGTTGATTATGAAGACGATGAAGGGACTCCAGATGAGCAAATGTTGTTCGTAGAAGAGCTAGAGCGGTTCTTTAAGCAAAGAAATTTGGAGTACAAGCCCCCTAAGTTCTATGGACTGGAGCTGAATGTTTTGAAGTAAGTTGTGTACTACAATCTAATGTTTTGTTTGGTAAAACCATTTAAATTTTCTGAATTATGAATCACACTCTATTTTTAAGTTGTTAGAAACTGCTATATGATCATATTCGCCCTTTCGTGTATTTTAAGTTTTTGTCTTCAACTGTGACTATAGCTGTAACCCTTTTGGTTACCTTGGTGCATATGATGTGTGGAAATGATCATTAGTGTATAATTCTGTGGATATGTGAAGCCATTAAACACCTACCATTGTGTAAAAGAAAGTCAGTGCTGTCTTTTTAATTGGGTGTAGTACAGGAACTCACTGTTGGCTGTGATATTGGTTGCAGGCTTTGGAGGGTAGTATCCAGATATGGTGGCTATGACCAAGTATTCATCATGATTAAGCCCACTCCTCTCAATGCTGATTGCATCTTCGGGATTTTATTTTAGGACATTCATCAGGATTCTGACATGAATTTAGTGTAGCGTAGTTGCATTAATTCAAAGCTTTATGAACAGCTTACAGCTATGGACTAGAGGCAAACATAAAGAAGAAGTGTCGCCTATCTTGCGTCTAAGATCTCCTGCCTGAATCCGTCCGAAATGTAGGCAGTAAACTTTGTTTTGTTTGTTTTGTTTTTTTTAACTCAACGGTTCATCCCTGTCTGTGTTTTGCTGATAGGGCCTATGGGCTTCATTTACTTGTGTAGGTTACAGTCAGCAAGCTTTGGAGGACAGTTGGTGAAGAATTTAAACCTCCCAAGTACGATTTTCTGGGTTTCATGATTTTTGCAATTGAGATGTTAGATCCACAAGCTTAGTTGCTGTGAATGTCGAGCATCACTGTAATAGATATAGCTTGTTAGTTGTGAATCTCAGATTTATTGCGATTTGAATTGTATGTGAATTTCTCGACTTTAACTCTCTTACTTCCTGCCTAGGTTGTTGCATTTCAATGAGGGCGGTTCATGTTCACTTTTCCTGCAGTACCTTCTGTGTTCGTAGGATGCTGTGCTGATTGAAAGATGAATTTCTTCACAGGACCTGTACTACAATTTCATGGTCGTTTCGAGGCTTTTATGAGAAGGTATGTTGTTTGTTGACTGAGTTAAGCTTATCTTGTGTTTTTCTATTTATAAACTTGCATCTTCTTATTTGAAAACATGTCTTTGAACGTTTCCTTCGATTATCCCATGTATCTCCAGTTTCAGCTGATGGCTTCTGTTCTCCAATATGTGTTTCAGTTAGTGTTCCTAATTAAGCTCTTATTGTTATGTGAATACTCGTGACTATCTATTTCAAGTTGCCTAATCTGGTCATGCAATTTATCATACAGGCCCTCCTGGATTATGAGAGGTTCAAGACTGGCGTTTCCGCCCCTGACAATGGGCAAAGGGCAATTCAAACACCCGGTTATTACCTGACAAATGATCAGCGAACGGCATCTCCTGCTACCCCGTCTTCTGACGTATGCTACTGTTGATATTGTTTTTATGGTTGATTCTTTTACATCGAGTGTAATGCGGATGAGCATTCCTTGTAGGTAGCTTAGCTATGGAATTTCCCATTTCAGGATAAAGCCAAGTTGCTTCACACGAAGCATTGAGAGGGAGTGTTGGGCAGACTTACTCAAGAATTTCACATTTGTGTTGGTATTGTTGTAGCCCAATGCGGGTGGAACACCAGGATCAGGATCTGGACGTGCACGTAGAGATGCGGCAGCACGGGCAATGCAGGGGTGGCATTCGCAGCGCATGGGCAATGGGGATTCGAAAGAGCCTACCTCAAAAGTAAGCTTTATGTCTTTGCAGGCGTGATTTCCCTTTGTTGGGATTTGGTAGCTAAAATTAGGTCAAATTTCAATTGTATTCTGTAAAATTATATCTTCACAACATCCGGTGGGATATATGGTTAGCTTATGTGAATTCGTGTTAATTTGTTTTATCGATTCTACATGCTTGTCCTGTGAAGCTTTTATCACTGAGGATTTTAGGAGTCGCAGCATATTTCTTGGATACTTTGTTGTTATTGGTTCAGGAATATGTTGGTGATCGCGTCTGTAATTGTTTGGGTGTGGTGGTGGTAATTTGTATTTTTCGTTTGCTTGCTAAGTTATTCATTTCTCTAAGTAAATTTATTTGGGTACGAATTATTATTTTTGCAGGAAAAAAGTTCTGGTGGGAAGCATGTCAAGAAAGAAAGAAAGTTAACCAACATAGGTCTTGATAACGCCCTACTTTTCATTCTACATCATGTGGCTTTGCATACCTTGGATGTCACAGTAGTACAAATCAGCGTATAGACACGCATTTGATGTAGTAGTCAATTTCAGCCTTGGTCCGTTCTGTTCGAGCTCTGTAAAATATTTTACAACCATACTAGCAATGGTTAGAAGCTTGTTAGAAGAAACTTGCGGATAGCAGTTGTATTGAATTTGTCAAAGAAGCGTTTCACATTGTGATGCAGGAGGGAATGGGCTGAAGCGAAAAGGATCAAATACGGTTCTTGAAAGGGCTGTGAAAGCTGTTCAAGCTCGAGGAAGACCTAGGTTATTCGAAGAGAGTCCTCCAAGTAATTCTGCAGTAACCGGTAAAAGAAGTATGAAGCAACAGGATTCTGGAAGACGTCCTGTGAAGGTTGCTAAGCTGGATGGTCCAGTAGGTGGTTTTGATCCTCCGATTGTTGACGAGGGTCCTAAAGCTGATTGGGTCAAAATCAATGTACATAAACATGTAAGCTTCCTATCGCATATGCTGCTTTAATCCACAAATGCATTGTTGCAGACATTCTGGATTGATGTCCATGCTATGTTATAGAAATGCTTTATCAACCCAGACCTTGCCTTTGTGCTTTCTTCCTCATCTCTTTTAAAATTCGACTGAAGCGATTCAAATACGTCTCATCTCTTTTGCAGCTAGATTGCTTCGAAATTTATGCACTGGTTCCTGGGCTAGCACGTGAGGAGGTGAGACAAGTAGCTGCTTTTAGCTCTCAAACTGCACTGAAGGGTTTCCAATATCTTCTTCGCCTCGTGTAAAAAATTTAGTGTCCTTATTTTCACATATCCTTATGCATGCATGACATAATATGGAGAAATATGTCATGATTTGTGTTAGTGTTGGAGGCTGATTGACTTAAGTTAATTTGAGCAGGTTCGGATCCAATGTGAGCCTGGAGGCAGGCTAGTGATTGCTGGGATGCCCGAGGATCCAGAAAATCCCTGGGGTGTGACTCCTTTCAGAAAAGTAAGCTTCGAAGGCACTGCGTCTTTGATGTCAACGATGTTTGTGCAGGTCCTCCAGTTACAAGTCCTGGGTGGTGTCTACTTATTTCAGTTGATACCACTATTCATTTGCTGTGAAAAAATTGATTACTTAAATAGCATTCAAGGACGGAGTGAAATAGTCATCGTTTACTCGTGATAATTGTAGGAAGTATGTTCAATGGACCGATTAGGCTCGTCAAGCCTTTTTAGTTCTGCAGCACTGATTCTTACAAGTGTTCCTTTTCTCAGGTCATAAGTTTGCCTTCTCGAATTGACGCTCATCAAACATCAGCGGTGGTCACTCTCTACGGCCAGCTCTACGTGCGAGTTCCCATTGCTGAGGACAAGTCATCTTAGTGCAAAGATATGCACAGGCAAACTTTCATCTCACCCACTCTTGAGAACAGAATACTGCCAAGAGTAAGAAACCTAAGGATGACATTTGGCAATTGCTCCACGTTCTCTGCCTGTCAAGTGAAGGAATGCTTGTTAATTATTTCATCTATTATTGCTTGGGTTTGGGCGTACCACCCCTGGATAGAGAATGTTTACTTGGGTGAGAATCGATGTAGCAGGTTTCTTGTGTAGAACATGTTTCTCAAGTTAGGTCTAAGGCAATTATCTTGCACAGAAAGACGCTTTTAGCAGGGTAGGAGCTTGTAAAGGCAATGCCACTTGCTGGTATATGCACTCAAATCTGTCAGAGGTAACAACCCGTCCTTTCATTTGCCTCCAATCTTTTTGTTTGGTTTAGAATAATCTGGGTGTCATTTTTGCAGTGCTTAGCCTTGGTGGTGGATCCCTTGGAAACATGCAATGTTTTTCAGCCGAGGAGTGTATCTGGTCAAGTGCGCATTCACGCACGTTGTAAGCTTTATGCGTAATAAGAACCAAGAGGAATCTTACAAAGTCCGCTTACTGATTTCGGCATCTTCTCACGTAGATTTGCAAAGTATTGTATGTATGATACCCAAAGTTACACAGGCACTACTGCATGGTCACATCAAAAGAATCCTATGATGCTACACCGGTGGGTCACAAGTAATGCTAATAGTTTGGGAGTATCAACTTGCAATGATACTCTCAAGCATTGAACATCATAACCCCTCTTACAAGCTCTTAAAATGAAAGTTTTGGTCACTTCAATTCCAAAGATGAACAACTCGGGCTGTTTGAGTGTTGTGCACCAAGGGGCACTTTGCTAGCCTTGCTCCATGTAGAGTTCTCAAATTACACTTGCATGTACAATGTCATATATGCTAACTAGTGTCCCAGAAAACCTACTTTAATGTTCAGGTTTAGTTTGAAGTAGAACAAGCTTTGTGGACAATGCATGGTTTTATATTACTTTTTTGTAAACACTTGAAGTTTTGGTGGCATTCTAATCCCTAACTCAAATATAACATGCTTTTTAGATCAAGTTTTATATGAGAGATAAGGTGAGAAGGTTTTTTTTCAATGTTTTGATTGGTTAAAACCAAGAAGTTTTCCTTATCTTTTTACCTTCAGAAAAATAAGTCTAAAAGTCTGAAGGTAAAAAGATAAGGTGGAATGCATTTCTTTTCTATATAGCCTGGATAGTGTTGTCTCTTAAAATTTTTATTGGGCCCGCCTTAAAGAGGTGTATTTTAGAAATAATCGTCAAGCCAAATCAAAAAATGCTTTAAATAACCATTATTTTATTTTATTTTATTTTTATTTTTTTACTTCTCATGATTGTTTGAATTAAGACAGAAATTGAAATATTCAACCTTGTAATAAAAAAATGATTTGGCTATTTCATAACTTCTTATTTTATACTATATCCACATATCAAAACTTTCAAAGGAGGGTTTCTCTTCATCAAGTAGGGGACCTTAATAAGAAGTTAAAACCATGTCCTTCAAAATGGACTTCTGGGTATAAAGTGCCCCTAAGATGTGATTTTTGAAATCTTGTTTGTTTTGTAACATTGATGCAATCATCAATTTTCTAGCTTTTAATGGACAAATGAACCTTTGATTTGATCGTATTATCTTTTTGGAAAAACCATTATGCAAATTATAATGGACTAGTGTGTGTCTGTGTGTGTGTGTGTGTTTTTTTTTTTAATATTTATTTATTTGTACATAAAACTAATTATTTCAATACAATCTATAGACTGAAGAAAATTCGGAACATATATTGTCTTCATTCTCTACAAAATAATTATAAAGCTAGTATTGCAACCATCAAATGTTGAACTTTCAGAAGCAAAATAAACAACAATTCATCCATGAAGGCAAGTGAGCTTCCCAGATTTCCTAAGGAAAATGTTTTGCAAGTAAGTCTGAAAGTATGTGTGTATATATATCTATATATATATATATATATAAATCCACACACACATATTCGTTTTGCAAGTCTGAAAGTATGTATATGTATATGTATATATATATATATATCCACACACATATTCGTTTTGCAAATCTGAAAGTATATATATATATATATATATAAATCCGCACTCACATGTTCGTGTGTATGTGAGATTCATGAATTGAGATAAAACTCAAGACATCAACACTGACTGACTAAGACTTGTATGTAACACAGTATGCTGAGCATATATGGCAGCCAATTAGATCAGGGCAAGCGCCACACAAGTTACGTTTAACTTTCCATAGAGATGATAACCAGTAGAATGACCGCATAATGTTATCGGGAACGGATGGTAAGCGAGCTAGAGGACATTTTGTCACTCTACAAATGCTGATCTTCTATTGACTGAGTGACTGCTCCAAAGATCTGCACCACACCCAACCAAAGACAAAATGAATGGTGTTGGGACCCCTTCTCGATGTATAGCACTTGAAGTAATGCAGCCACAGTGTTGTTGAATCCTTGTGGCACTCAGCGTCGAAATCCAATCGAAGCTGCAACGTGATCTTAGAAAAACACATTCTGATCCCATGATCGATCAACTCCTCAAGTTTGCACGTGCTGTTTTGTTTCAACTCAACTGTAGAAACGATACAGAAATCGAGTTACTTAGTCAAAGTGTTCAGGCACTTACTAATGATATCAGAATTTGGAATACTCGTAGCAGAAACAAACTTGGGTTCCAGGGAGTATTGAAATACAATAATGTATCTGACATCGGCAAAAATATTCCTTCAGCAAAAGGGCTAGGAAGGAGATGAGCCTTACAATCGGTAAAGATGGAACACACATGTGGTGACTAAATTATTCAAAAATAAAATATATTTACTCAGTGCCGTGCTGATGGTGTTACATGCCACACCTCCCTACAAGCTCTTATTTGAATACACTTTTCGCATTACGCTGTCACCTACAAATTCCTCAAAAGTGACCGGAGACATGTTCACCCTCAAGGCAAGAAAGCCATGCCACTCGCAACTTGAGGCTAGGCACGAATTTTTTGACATGAAAAGGGAGGAAAGGGATCAATGGGGATACCCAGAAATAAAGTTCCTGAAGACTGTGTGTCATTATTTGAGTGCGTCCAAGAGCAAATCACATGTCGCGTTAGCCTCGACGACAATCATGTTGGAGTTTTCTGCTGGAGCAACATCCTCTCGGCCGTAGTTACCAGTAGCACGGAGCTTCTTCTCAGAGCCTCCCTCCACAATATCTTTCACGATGATTGTCTTGTGCGTTCCTGACAACAATTCTTCATAATCGGTGTCACCGGTTTCGCCCAAAACCACAAACATGTTGGCAACATCCACATTCCACCGAGCAAAGAAGTATCTGCACAAGATGGACTTGATCATCAGGCTCCTGCGGAAAAGCTTCAGTTGCATGAGGGAAATGTGAACGCTCACGGCACCTGAAATTGCTTAAGGGCCGTTACTTCTTACAAGGAAGATGCTTTAGGTAAGGAAAAAAACCTTAGAGACTGCGAGCGAGATGCTAAAAGAGGCAACACATGCAAGCGTGAAGAATTTCTGCAGAACATCACGTGGCATCGTAATCCCCGCATCCGCAGACGCTGTCGCAATTGATCGACGGTAGGGGCCTACAATCACGAAACACATCTCAAGACTATAATAAGCAAACCACCAAGTACATCGATCACTAGCAGACAGAAAAGCACACTGAGCATTGCTGAATGATTAGAGCATAACCATTGCAGAGTTGGATTATTTTGTGAGAAATGCCCCAAATATAAGAAAAAGAAACACTTAACCTCAAATAATGACACATTGCAAAGAAACTAAAGCAGAAGGGGTGCTGGAACTTACAATATCCGAATTTGTGACACTGTAGGCGAGGCAGTGAGAATTACAGTTTTTTGTATCTTCTATCAAGATCTTGTCATTGTTGGCATTCTCAGCGTCGGACTTATTCAACCGAGCCATGGTCTTGCGGAGACCCTCGTAACCCCACCGGTAGTCAATGTGAGTGCTATAATCCTTGTCTGCATGCAAATCAATATTGTCTGTAGCGCCATTATCGTCTTGATGTGAGGCTGGATAGTAGACCTCGCTTCCGCTGCTACAAATTAGAGCGTCAAACTCAATAGGGGACAGCCCCGCAGAGTTCAGCATGGCAACTATCTCTGATTTTGTGAGAGCAGAGGAGATAATCAACCCGGGTTGCACTCGAATACTCGAGTCTGAACGGATATTCTTCACCAGATCTTGGAGAAGGCTCACAAATCTACTGCTGGGGTTGTTGGTTGCAGGATCGTATCCATCCACAGCAATAACAACCAAGCGTCTCCGCTTCTTTAGGGGTTGGGCCTTATGCGCGCCTGTCAAAGAGCCAAACCTCTTGGTTTCCGGTCCTTCCACTTGCATCGATTCCATGCGGCCGCTCATAGTGCGCTGCTTCCCTGTCAGAGGCTTCAAGTCCTCTGCTCCATTGTTCTTCCCCAAACTGTTCTGACTCTTGAGCATCCGCTCTAGATCGGCAGGATTTGATATGGACATGTTGCCATCGACACTGAGGCGCAGCGAAAAGTCCTGGACGTCGCGCAGAGAGTCACTCTGCGACTCAAGATCTTCGTCCTCAGTGCTAGTCTCGGTTTTCCACTGCGGGTGTCGCATGCGACTCAAGGCGATTCGAGACAGATAGGTTCGGCAATGTTCTGGCCACGAGAACAAATGGATATTCTTCAATCCGTTCTTGCGACACTCGTTCCATAGGGAGCGATCCGCAACCAGCCTCAGCAATGCATCTGCGATTTCCTTCTCATTGTGGGGATCCACCAGCAGACCATTCGAAAGAGCCTATTTCAAACAACCAAGCTACTCATCTCATTACAAAGTCCAGAAAAAGAATCGGCTGTTATGGCTACTATGACGGCATTAATGTTTTCCCGCGAACGCAATTAACTTTAGAAAATCATATCATTGCGCAGTTTACAGACCTTGTGTATGTCAACAGGTCCTCCGTTCTTCGTAGCAACCATGGGCAAACCGTGGGCAGCCGCCTCAATCAAAGTGAGTCCAAAAGGCTCCACAAGTGCTGGATTGATGAACACACCCTGCAAGTAGTGAAGTCATGATTAGCGAATCAAATTATAAGTCATCTGCCAGCCTAGAAATAAATCAAGGAAGCTGTACGCTACATAGAGTCATGAAGCTAATAGTGAAGTTTTGCGGCCTCAACTGCACTATGAGCATCTTTATCACAAAAAGAGCGCGCATTCCAACAATAACATGGATGAAATTCCCAGATACCTTGGTCTTCGCAGCAAAGCGGTAAATTTCAGGAACATCCGATTGCTTATGGTGCTTGGGGTAGGCAATTTGACCATACAAGTCGTACTTGTCAATCAGCTTAAGCACAGTGGTCATCACTGCTGCATTGCCATTTGACATTTCGTCGATGTCATCACGATTCCCCATGATAAGCGTCTGCAGACAATTTTAAGCCATCAGATTACAGATCAGTAGGAATTCTTTATTAAAACTTTATAAATTATCTGGTGTCCTCTTCGCAGCGCAAAGATAGTCGTGGTGGGGAAAAAAAGAAAGTAGCACACCAGATTGGCCAACTCTCTCAAAGCCCGTCGTTCACCAAAAGCCCTCAACAAGGTGGTAAGATTCTTCTTCGGATCGGGACGAGCTAGTGCCAAAATCATCGGCTTGTGTGGGTTTGTTAAGAAACGCATGATCTGGATCACACAATATTAACATTTAGACGATCGTGGTAAATTCCCAAAATCTTCAGACTCGATAAATCTCAACCTCAATTCAAAATGGTAAAATAAAAATTCTAATTCATCACAGAAAACCCAGATGTCTGATTTAAAGACACGCTCTTTAACGAAAAGGTCAAAAACATAAATACAGGAAAATAATTAAAGCCTCACCTCATCCCAGATGGGAGGATTAGCCCGGGGAGAGACGGGAACTACACTGGAGGAATCGCTGGAAGTGATCTGCACAGCCTCACCATCGTCAACGACATCCCCTGTATCTTGCACAATTACGTTGCTGAAGTCCATTCCGGGTGGAATGACCACCATCCGGGGCATGTACCGGCCATGGCAACTGACGCCTCTACGAGCCCTGGCGCGGAGAACACGCTCCAACTTGACGTCAAAACCATCATAAAGGCCCCATTGCTCCTCAATTTCTTGTTTGGTACTAGTAATGACCAGTTCAGCTGCATCCAGCGAAAGCTCCTCCGCCTCAATCCTCCGCATAATCTTATAAGTGGCATTGATGTCATGCTTCGACTGTCTTCCTTGCTTCAGGAGCTGCTCAAGCTTGTTGCGACCAAGGGAATGGCCAGTAAGCACCATAGGAACATTCAAAGCCCCCGACAAAAGTGACGCAATGTCTCCAGCGTCAGCATAATGGCCATGGATTACGTGAGGCCAGATGAGCCCCCCACTCCCGATTTGCTCCCCCAGAACTTTGGTCATGTTCAAAATGTGAGTCAATGCACCGTCTACAAATTCCTGAATGTATGGCCAAAGAAGTTCCTTCCTCAGGTATTGATCCCTACATTACAGAAGAAACTTTTGCTAATGAGGATCAAATTCATTAGCTGCTGCAATGGTACGAGCCAAAATCTCCGGCATACGTTGAGAGTTCGCACTACTTATTCCCATAATACTAATCACTCAAATGAATATCGGAATTAGAAGCAACTCAACCAATGACAATTATCTTACATCTGATCGAGATGATGACTGATTGAGTTGACTGAAAATGTTGACTAGCCCAAAAGGAGCACAAGCACTCGGACTCTGAGCAATTGGGCTGCACGATTTAGGAATCAAAAGCTAAATTATATACGCCCTGCTGTAGATTACACGAAAATCAGAGGGTATATTAAGAACCGACGCCAGACTAGAACTTCATTGTTGATGGATTTCAGAGTAGCAGAGTCAAATTACCTTGGTCCACAAGGTATACGCACAATGTACGCACCGCTACTCTCACCAACGTCTTCGAAATCGTCGTAAGAGCCGAGACTCAACATCTCAGTGGGCTCCCCGTAACTCCAATCCACGTCGGGCGAACATATTTGGCGAGTGAGAAGGTCGACCCGGTAGACTTCGGGCATCAGGGCCAGAGCTCTTGCTAACTCCACCACATACTTGATCTGTAGCCACTGATCCAATGTCAACTCGCACGCCTTTCAAACAATACCGTGCAACTATATATGTTCCTTAAAATGCAAACAGCTCTCTTGCCAGGCTGCGGCCGACAATAGAGCAAACGGCCAGAGCTTCGTGCAAATGTACTATACAATCGTTGGGACTTTGCAAACTTTTCACTTTGCGTTCTGGAATTGTAGCCAGTCCGGATCAAGTGTAAGGGAGAGCGAACCTGTCCACCAGTGTCTGAATCTCGGCCAAGCTCCATGTTGTCCCCTCGCACAAGACCGTGCAGACTACAGTGTTTCACAGGGTTAACAATATGTCGCAATTTTTTTACTTCTATCACGGAACTGAGATCATTTACACCATCCTCGGACCAGCATTGCAAATTCACTTCTTACTGCCGCAAGTTTCCAGCGATTACTAGGGACGAGAGAGTAACTGATTGGTTGGGATTGTCTCGCACACCTGATGAGGACAATATACAGACGTTTCTCAGGTTTCTCCTTCTCTGGAGAAATGCTTTCTCCAAAATTGGAACTGGCGAGAGTAAGTGCGCTCTCTACACGGGGGATACAGTCCTGCGGAATGCTTTCCTTTTCCCCCTCAGACAGATCGGAGGACATGTCTGCGGTGGCATCTTTCCTGCCCTGCTCACGTTCCATATGCCGCCGGGCAAGCCGATGAGCGTCCTCCCATTCGATCTGTCAACATACTCCATCGAGTTTAGACAGCCTCGTTCCAGAATTGAACATCTTTCCCTTGGTTCACGACTCAATGAAGGCGCTTATAGTATAACACTGAGATTGTAACCTACCAATCTTTTTTTCCTCGCAATGTGCCAAATCCTCCAACAAAGATGTTCCATTCGCAACGTCCGCTCCTGAGAGCTCCTCGTAGCCGAGGCCTGCGACTATACCCCGACCAAAAATGAGCCACTGATACATCCATCCCCATTTCTATGCGCACCGAAACTTCACTTTTCCGCATCGCACTTGAGAATTCCACACTGGGCCTTAGAAACTGATCCCATCTCAGGTACAATGTCCCCCCGAGTCCCATGTACGTAGCCAATGTATTCTGTGCCCAAATTAAGGCTTCTACAAGCAACGAGAGCCACAACAAGAACCGAAACGACACTCACAACATGCAGACCAGGAACAACACCCAAACACGCAATGTCGCCCGCATTTGGAAAGATTCAGAACTGAAATACCTCACGCAATCACTCAATCAATCCAGCAAACAGGCAAACAAGGTTGAGAGGGCAAAGGGACGAATCCTCATCCCTGAGGAAATCAAAGCAAAAGGCAAAGAAACTTAGATGGCCACCTTGATCCAGGTGCGGTACAGAGAGGACTCATCGAAGCCAGTAACGGTTTCGACAAAATACTTGGCCGCCTTGAAATCATTCACTCCCTCGTCTCCGATGTGTTTGTGATCGGTAATCTTCTCTCCCGTGTCCAGAATCGCTTCCAAGTAACCATTAATCCACTCATTTCCCGCCGCCATAGCTAACAACTCTGCCAGAACGGCGTGTGGATTGACGCCGTTCTACAATCCACACGCTCTCGTCACTCGCAAAACACTCCAAAGATTGAATCAGAGCACCAGGGCCAATAAACACTTTGGAATCACGCTCTCTGTCTGTCTGTCTGTCTCTCGCTCGCTCGCTCGCTCCTTCCCGTCTGTGCTTACAACACACAGCAACAACCGTCAGCGATGAACCTCCTCCTCGTCGTCCTCCTTCTCCTGGGCGGGTCTCAAGCCATCATCCGGTGCGTAAGATCGCTAGTTGCGAGATCCCCGATGCCCTCCCTCAACTACCAATCCTGGCTCGAGTAAAGAATGAAGAGGAGCGGCGGTGCATCATCCATGCGCTCACTCACTCAAACACAAGTCCACACAAGCCCAAGCACACACGCAAAAGCCCACACTCCCACTTCCGTACCTAAACCCCGCAACAGCAGCAGTAGTCCTGACACCATCCGGGGTACACTCACATATATCTAAATACACGATTAAAATAAAAGCTCATAAAAAATCATAAAATAAAAGTGAAACAAAATTAGACGACGAAGCAGAAGCAGTGCATGTAGTGTAGTGAGTGAGTCAGAGAGAGAGAAAGAGAGAGAGAAAGAGAGAGATCCCACTCTGGGCAGTGGAGTTGGCTTTAGTTTTCGTGAAGATGGTGGAGGGTTGAGATGGCAGGCTGCCAAATTTGGAGGTGCGCTTGGAATTTGGCAGGGAGTCCCAACCAACGACCATTCACCTAATTCTGGCCCTTTCTTCCTTCCTTCCTTCCCTCCTCGGTACCAGACACACAAGAGCATACTCACCTTCCTCTTCCCGTCCCTTCCCTGGGCTGGGCCGGGTGGGCAGGGGGGTCAGACGGGGAGGATGGCAGCGCCGTTACGAGGGCCCTCTCTGTGCGGAACCAGAACGGCGTCCCCCCTATTACCATTCCCTCCTCACCCTGCCTGCCTGCCTCCACGCGGCACGGCTATCGGTACACGGCGTCGGGTGGGGGGGCTCCTATGCCCAAAATCACTCTCTCTGTCTCTTTCTCCCACAGAGAGAGATTACTATTTATTGTTACCTATTATTACTATTATTGTTTTTGTGGTTGTATATTTAGTGTTGTTTATTAAATGAAGTAGGGGTGTTGGCATTAGGGTGGGTACAGTGAGTGTGCCCTTGTGACATGGGCTGGCTGCCCATTTGCATGCATGGCATGATTTCATTCCCCTTCCCTTCACTTTACTTCTCCTTTCTTGAATTTTGTGCCTGCTTTGCATGGTCCTCTTCATTTGTGAACCATCAATTATTCCTTTCTTGGTCCTTCTTGTTGAGAATGCTTGGAGAGACTTAAGAATAGTTAGAAGTAATGTGCACAAAAATACACACACACATACTTAAGTGAGAGTATATTGATGTGGTTATCTCACTTATATAAAGAGAAGGAGAGAAGATAAACAATTTCTTCTCACTACATTCCAAACATTATAGCTACAATATTTACTATAAATTATAGTAAATTTTATGGAGAGCGTTGGCTATATTTAATGCTCTCACTACTCTTCATCGCTCGTCATAATATTTATATAACATAAAATTTGCATAGAATTATGATCTATATTTTTTTGTAATCTTTATAAGATCAATAGTTGTTGCCTCATTAAAACTTTATTTAAGAAAACCTTATTGTATTCCAAGGCAAAATCATAGATGAAAGAAAAAGAATACAAAATTATTTTAAGAATTCATTAATTTTTTTGCTCAAGTACAGCAAGTCGCCGCATGCCAATGCCATAAATAAGTTGGTGATGGTTGCACAAAGGAAGAGCTTTGGTGAGGAGATCAATAAGGTTATTTGTAGATTCAATTTTTTTGATCTTAAGTACTTGATCAATAACCAAGTCATAGTTATAACTAAAATATTTTGGATCAATATGCTTTGTCCTATGGTTTTTAATGAAACCAACTTACATTTAAGTAACACAAGTACTATTGTCTTGATATAAGATAGTTGGAGAATCACCATGTGAAAGTCCACAAGTTGTTTGAATGAATTTATCAATTGATCGCAACCAAATACATTCTCGAGATGCTTCATATAAGGCAATAATTTCTACATGGTTGGATGAAGTTGTACTTATAGTTTGTTTGACTGATTTCTATGATATTACAGTTCTATGTCTTAAGAATATATAACCTATTTGAGATTTAGTTGTTGAAATATTAGATTTATATCCTACATCAAAATATCCAACCAATTTTGGATTTACAAATTATGTGCAGTACAGTCTCAAATCTTCAATACCTTTTAAATAATGTAATAAATATTTGATGCCATTTCAATATCATAGTATTAGATATGTACTAAGTCTTGCAAGAATAATAATTGCAAATGTAATATCTAGACTTGTAAATGTGGCTAAATATAATAGTGCTTCAATCATTGCAAGGTATGAATATTGATCTCTCAATATTTCCTCCTCTTCCTCGTACAAATGGTATGGATCATGACCATCATGACTATGTCCAACCATTGGTCTTAACAATAGATAAACATCAATTATATTGAATCTCTACTAGATTCGTCTAATTTACATCAATTAGTAGAAAAAAATGCAACCATCTATAAGATGCATAATCTGAAGACCAATACAAAAAGTTATTTTTTTTAGCATTTTTATTTCAAATTCATAGATAAGTAGGTTAGTAGCTGCAATGCATATAGATCTGATATCCATTAGGTTAAAATCATCAATATATATAGCAATAATCATAAAATCAGTTTTATTTCATTTAATAAATAAATAAGGGATTAGTAGATTACTTCCAAACTTATTTGTAATTAAATAATCTTAGAAAAATTGATACCACATGCATCCAAATTGTTTTAGACTATATAGAACCTTATGTAATTTAATACCACAATATCATCCTAAAGTAAGTGCATTTGGAGTTCATGTGTCCAAACTAGGTAGAACTTGTTGAAGAACAGCAAGTACTTGCTTAGTTACAATCACATAAAGTTTAAGCATAGTATGTTGCTAATAGTAAAAAGACAGCAAAGAGGTAAAGTAAGTTATTGTGGTGGTACCGAGGCTTTAGTAAGATGAGGTAGAAATGGATGTAATATCAAATGGATGGAAGTTGCCTCATTGGTGTGCAAACCACCACCTATAAGTAAAGAGTGTTGGAAGTAAGAATTATCTTCCTCCACACTTTCTTTTAGAGTACAATCCTTGCTGATGCTAAGTGTTTGTAGCCTTTAGACTTCTTTTTCTTCAATAGAACTTTCGTATAAATATCTACATCAAGAGAATCATACACATATATAATTACCATATCCATGAGATGCATCTCAAGGGTGGCATGAATTGCTATCCCAATAATATATCAAAATATAATTGAATCTATGACTAAAAAATATATGGATTCATAATCAATATCAAATTTTTGGATAAATCCTTGGGCAACAAGATGAGCTTTATACTGGATTATTTGATCCTCAGCATCTTACTTGTATACTAATGCCATCTTATAATCCATAAGGTGAAAAATAAGAGTGTCTACAATTAGATCAAAGACTTTCTTCTTATACAAAGAAGCATACTCGTCCTTGATGGTAGTTTTTTATTTTAACCAATCAAAGTGACACCTTGCTTCTTTCATGGTTTGAGATTTAAGATATTTTTTTTGTAAGAAAGAGCTTTTATAATTATGAATACAAATGATTCATCTATTATAATAGATGGTCTATTTCAAATATTGTTTGTAGCACAATATAGAATAGATAATTCTATATTCAACTTAGGAAGAATAAAACTAAGTTGATGGATCAACAATACAAATAATACTTGATGAATCAAAACTAATATATATGCTCTCTCATCGATGAGCTTCAATGATATATCATTGAGGTTTTGGTACTGAAACCTAAGCATGGCAATCAAACATTTATAAGTGAGATATATTTGGAATATAATTTGAAATGAGCTCTTGTTGTGTAATAATTTCAAAAGAAAAAGGATGGAGGTATTGTCATATGGCATAATTTATAATCTAAGAATATACTAGGTACCTAATTATAGAGAGTTGTTTATCTTTGGCTTATATATAATGTCTTATCTCCCAAAAATTTCTTTATTTTGTACAAAAGCTCAAATTATAATAAAATTTTTTAATACATTTTCTTCCCGCACAAGATATTTTTACCCTGAACTTTAGAAATTCATATCTCTTGATCCAACCATTTAATTTTTTTCAAATTTTTATATAACATAGATTCTATCCTTAAGCTTTATTAAAAAAAATGAACCATAAATCTATTATAAATCTTTTGGCATCTTAGAAATCCTAACAAGTACTCTTAACCTTAATCTATAAGCATTCAAATACTATTTCCTTATATATCAAAAATTCAAAATCCAAATGCCACAAAATTTGAGCATAAAATTTATTAACATAATTAAACATAATTAAGAAAATTTTGAGCCAAAATCTTATCAAATTGCCCAAGATATAGCTCAAAATACAACCACTAGTAAATCGGGTCATTTACTACCCTTAGATTTGAAGCATTGACTTCAACTCCCAATATTTTCTTTATCTCAATTTAAAATCCATCAAATAATTTACCAAAAGTGTAGCAAAAGAAAAAAATTCTTTCTTTAACACCAGTTGCCGATCATTTATTGCTTTATGTATGTGTGCATTATGTCCAAAAGAATGACAGTAGGTACAAAATCAACACTTTAACTTTGAGCGCCCATATCTCCTTCATATAAACTCCAAATCACACAAAATTTGTACCAAAACTATAGCTAAAAACCTAAACTCACTGATCCTAGCCTCCAAAGCTCGAATTGCCTTAAAAGAATAACCCTAAACTCTAATAAGGCATCAGACAGCCTCCTTAAAGGCCATTGTATATGATTTTTGGCCAATAGGAATGAAAATTTTTATCATCTATCTCCATTCATCCATATGGATGCCCTAACTTCTCTTTTTTTGCTACCAAGGTCCTTCTCCAACCCTTTTTTTGATAAGATTTATATAATATATGTCCTAAACACTAAATAAAAGAATCAAAATAAAACTTCAAGGGTCACCAATGTCTAACAAGGGTGACTCTAAATGTTTAAAAGTTACTATTAATAAGATCAACTTTAAAAGTAACTATCAAAAGAAAATAAAGTTATATAAATTCTAATAGAAGCCCTTTTAAACAACTTCTTTTCAAGGTAGTAATCTGTGTACATCCTATAACCAACAAAAATCCACTAATATGGCTTTTACCATGTTATTTAATATATTGTATATTAAACATATAACACATTATTTTTACATAGTAGCCAAACCACAACACGATATTGTATTAATACTATAGCATAAAAAACTGCATGATTCCACATAGATACATGTAAATTTGCCTGAAGAAGGAATAGCCAAGTAATGAGTTGTATACGCTTTATAAATGACTCTGCAAGTCTATTTTGAGTGTCTTCATATCAAACACAATATGTCAACTTAATCCTTATTGCAATACAATAGTCTTTAAAAGGCTTTGATGCAAATTCTTTTGTATTGTCCATACATAATGTTTTGATAGGATAATCAAGAAAATGTG